CCTCTCCTCTCTCCTCTCTCTCTCTCCCTCTCTCTCTCTCTCTCTTTTTTTTGTACTATAATACTAGTAGTATGATATACAAGTAGTAATTATTTGTGCAGCGACGGGTAAATCGGATTCTTGATCAAAAAAAAATTAAAAATTAAATCCTATTGGGAGAAATTGTTGGAGGTTAACTTAGTCTACAGTACTCATTATTATATCTATCCATCCAAACATCTTGGTGGAGATATTTATGGTAATGGCACAGCACAGCAGCATACCAGACCATACAATACCATCATACCAGAAAGCGCTGTACAGTACAGCACAGTTCTCGTATTGTACGGCGGTACCGTACTTGTACAGTAACTTACAAGAGCATGAAAAATCACAAGACATGGCATACACCGCAACACATAGTACACAACCATGGCAGGGAAACAGACAGACAGACAGACAGACAAACGTAATCCCCCTTACCATACCATACCAGTCCCCACGATACCATCCCATCCAAAGTATAGAGTAATCATATCGTATATTATATGATACAGTACAGACTATACAGTAGTTCAGCACAGCACAGTACAGTACAAACCCCGAGTGACGGAGCATGTCCAGGCGCAGCCCACATTCGCCCAACTCCGTCTGCCCCCCCTTGCCCCCCCCCCTTCCAGCCGCTCAACTTCTCCATGCCTTGTGAGGTGAGAGAGAGCTTACCTATGATTCATGCATGCATACATTATACACACACACATACATACATACATGTCGCACCGGAGTAACCCTACGGTGGCCGTATCAGAGCTCTGATATAATACCGTTCCGAAACCCATACTTGTTACCCGTCCAAAACGGGACTTCTCAAGCGGGACGCACGACAGGGTGCCGGTATGGTACCGTAAATTGATCGTGCGGCGCCAAAAGCTACTGTGAGATGCGCTCCATCCGTGCCACCGACCGAACAGGATCCAATCCGATCGCCGAGTGGGAAGGTACCGTATGATCCAGCAAGTCGGTGCTCTACAGTACCAGGAATCATGATACGGCACCGTACAGTACTGGGCCGTGGTTCCAGAGTATGATACGGGAGGGAGGGGAGGCCGAGCTGCGGTGCAGTACGAGTGCAACCACCATAGGCCAGGCCAGGCTAGGTTCGGCGATGAGTGGGCGGTGCAAAGGACATCGGGATTTACAGTACCGGTAGGCGAGCTGGGGGTGGGTTGTCTTATTCGGCAAATGCCGTAGGGGGGGGGGGGTATGATATGAGACAGTATCAGGCGGCATGAGGCGGTAAAGTTGAATCGGGTATGATAGGACCGATATTCTAGCTGTGGTATATCACGCGCTCGCAATAACGATACAAGAGAGCGAGCAACCAGACACCTTTCATGACAAAAAAAAAAAAAGCAAAAAAGAAACCCCCCGTCTTCAACAAACTCCAGTCCAGTATATAAACAAATACGGCAAGTAGGACAAGAGAAAAGGAACAGAGGAAGAAGTTGGAGGAGAAATGATCAAGTCTGCCGACAGTAATCCCTTCCTCTGTCAACCTGCCACTGGCAAAGATACATTTCTAGCCACAGACTAATGAAACCCGCAATACAAATACCACCGGAGTCGCTCACTGTGGTGGCCCCTAGCGAGAACTCACGTTCATCTTCGGGCTCATTATCAGTTATCTCGGCAAAAGTGTTCACATAGACTAGTCCTCCAAGCAACCCCTCCCAGAACACAACTACAAAGACTATCCAAATGTTTGGAAGAAAGTTGTACTGGGAATGAAGCACCAGGAGCGCCAAGTTGGCTACTTGGAGCAAGGCGGGCGGGTAGAGTTTGTGGACACGGACAAAGGGAGTCGAGGAGCGCGAGATGAAGACGCCAGTCTGGTAGATTGTGTTGTACATGGGATATGCATCGCGGTAATTCTTGAAGGGCATGGAGGGTAGCGGGAATAGAAGTGTTGGAGCGACGCCGAGATTGATAGTGTATTCGGCAATGTAGACCAGGAGCAACGGAAGCATACTATGATAGGATTAGGAACTGGGTCATTCGTGTCAAAGAGATCAGCGTACTAGGGAAGAAACAGATGCCGTGTCTTTCTCAAGTTCGCCCGAAGTCCCCTCCATGCAACGTCAACCTGACCGGCGAACGTCTTTTCACCCGTTGCATAGCCGACACTGACTGCAGGGAACGTGTGTCCACTGGCAGAACGTCCCGAAGACGCCAGCAATCCGCCGGCTGCGCCATCGTCCTCAAGGTCTGGATCAAGCATCTCATCGCCGTCCCTCAACGCTTCATAGCCACTCCCTCCCCGTAAAGGAGCCAGGGGTAGGACTCCGAAAAAGGCGATAAGCATTACAGCCGGCAAGAACCCAAACACCATCAAACTCCCCCCAACGCTGAAGCCGATCCAAGTGGTGGCCAACACATAAAGCCCCGCTCCGATAAGCCCCGCTCCCCCAGTCCCCGACGACCAGAAGAGCACGGCGAAGGATCCGTAGAAGTGGGTCATGGACAGGAACGACATCTCACCCAAGCCCGAGGATACGGAGGCCAGCACTACCCCAAACAAGCGCCCCGGCAGGGAGTCGGCCCAGGCCACTAGCTGCATGCCGGTGAAGGACAGGGCCACCATTACCAGGATCCTCTTGCGGTAAGAGATGAGGTGAACAAAGTACGGGGCCACAAGCTTCGTCAAGAAGGAAGGGACGACATCGGCAAGGAGCACTATAGCCTTCGGCAGGGTCGGGCCGACGAGGTCGAGGGCTGCGGACAAGATGATAACGTAGAGGACGTTGTTGATGAGGCCTGAAAGAGGGGGGGGGGGAAGGTTAGCCGGATCAAGCGGGCGAGGGGCAGGGGATGAAAAACGGTTCGCCGGAAGCCAGACCAAACAGCCAGAAAGCAGTGCAGACCCGCGGGTCAGCACCGACGAAGGCGGCCCTGAAGCGAGCACTGTAGACGGCGAGACTGGAGGAAGGGGCACCGGGAACGGGCAGACGGATGGAAGGCAAGGGTGATTGACGGCGAGGGGTCGTGGCATTCGCCGGGGGTAAATCATCCATTGCTGGAGACGAGCGTGGAAGAGGGGCAGAGAGAGAGAGAGAGAGAGTGTGTGTGTGTGTGTAGAGGATAGTGGACGAAGCAGTTTGTTTGTCGTTTGAGGGGTTGAGTTGCAGTGATGACGATGACGATGGTGTCTATTATGCGGCGTTTCACCTCTCGCGACACGATGGCGATGACGACGAGGGTGAAGATACGAGTAACAAACAGTTGAAAGGGGGCCAGTACGAGTAGGGTACGGTAAGCTAAGCAGCTGCCATAGGAAGGAAGAGGAGAAAAAGCACCGCTACCCAAATAAAAGCACCGCGATATCACACAAGGAAGACGCACAGTGCACTCGGTTTCCGGGTGTAGGGATAAAATAGAGGAACGGTGGTAAGTGAGAAAGCAAAGGGGAAAGGAGGGAAAAAAAGAAAAGAAAGAAAGAAGAAAAGAAAGACGAGGGTGGATGGTATCTAGAAACAGTAGGGTACCGATAGGTTAAAAATGCTCCTGTCCTCGTCTTGCTGCACACTCCCAGAAGGGACCGATATCATAGGTTATCGTCAGCAGATGGCCCCGATCCAATCAGGGCGAGTGAGTGGGTGGGTGAGTGAGGAAGAAGTGAAGAGGTGTCAGGGATGGTGGAATATTATGTGCAGTGAGGTGAGGTGCACCGGTGACTTGGTTGAAGTGTGTGTGTGTGGGTGTGGCGGGTGGCAGTGGGTGTTACCGTGCTGCGGTGATGGGATCTGGGCGATGGTAACGGTGTCCGTCCCATGAAAGGCGATCAGAGGAGAGGAGAGGAGGGAGAGAAGGGAAGGTGGAAAAGGGCCGTCATGCCGTGACCGTGGAGGAACGATGCGGATGCACGGGTACCGGTGCAGTGCCTGTACGAGTACCGTACCGTACGGTGCTCGAGTGTGCCAGGGCCGTGAATTCCCATGCAGGCAGCTGCAGCCTGCTGCGAGTTCCTAATCCATGCGACCAGTCAGGGAAGCCGCTCGCCGTGACCCTTCCCTCGCCATAACTTGCGGCCTGCGCGGGTGAAGATCGAATGGGACGGATGTGACCATTGGTGCGGCATGAGTGACGGTGGCCATGATATGGGCGAGAATTGTGCGTTATGAGATCGATCCGGAGTGCGGGTGACACCGTGACGGAGGGGGGGGAGAAGGAGGGCCGTATGTGTGTCACGGTGCGTGTGTCCGCTCCGGTGTGGGGTCGCCCTAAAAACCGTTTGCTCCATCACCGGTGGAGAGGCCCCGAGAGTGACGAGAGGGTGGATTAACGAGTGACGCTCCCCTACCGTGGTCGACCGGGAAAGTGCGTTACCGGTATGACATTTTTTCCCATCATGACAAAACCCACCGCACTTGTACCGTATCACATCGCCCACCCACCCATCCATCCACCCATCCCCCTCGCAGCTCGACCCTGGAAGTGCATTGAACAGGGACTCCCCGCGACGACTCCCTCTTCGGGGAAAATGCATTTGCAGGGGTCCGCCAACCCCGTTTGCATTTCTTTCCAATTTTATCCTTCCTCGCCCTCTCATTCATCTCGGGACTCTCCCGCCCTCTCGCCATGGGGAAGAGGAGAGGAGGAGGGAAGTGGATGGAGTGGCACTCGGCCAAGCCCAGGGCGAAGGCAGGAGGATAACCGTACTCGTACGTACAGTACTTGTACAGTACTCGTACACGACGATACAGTGCCTCCGATAGGGTAGCGTGCCGTAGCGTACGCCAATGTATCATGGTTTGGTGCGACATACCCGTGCACTCGCATTTCCATGATTTCCTTGCCTTCCTGCCGCAATCCTGTACCGTACTTGTACGAGCACTAGTACCGGTACGGTGCTCGCACAGGCACCGTGCCAGAGCGGAGGGAAGGGAAGGAAGGGCCGCCCGCGGATTGATTGACGCCCTTGCTGCCCCATGTCTCTCCCCCTTGTTGCAACTCTCCCTCTTCTCGCTCGTCACTCGGGTATATTATTACCATACGGCGGGCCGTCCCTTTGCTTTCGCCTTGCTCCAACTGTTACTGGTGATGATGATGTGATGTGAAGATGATGGTAATGATGCCGCTATGCTTGTCACCGCGACTCAGAGTTCCGTACCCCCCCAACCTTTAGACACCTCTGATACCCAATCCATCGGTCCTGGCTTCTTCTCCTTCCGGGTTTCGCCTGAGCGACTGCTTCCTTGCACGAATATTGTGCCATATCGGATCCTTCGATTGTCGCCCGGCCTGCCTTGTTGTCCACGGTACTTGTACGAGTACTTGTACTTGTGTAGAGCACCACTACTTGTACACCGCATGCTGGATGCCTGTCGCTCTGCTTGCTTTGCCCGGTCGTAACTGGAGTGGCTGTCCGGGGTCCGTGCTGTGCTCGAGTACCGGTATGGTATTGTGGGCATCGTAGCTTCGCTGCTCGGCCGGGGCTCACCACTCACACAACTCGTGCAGGATCCCTCCCCCGTCCATTCCATCACACTCGCATACTCGCACGCTGTTCGCTGCTCACTGCACCCTCTCTCCCCCTCATCCATCACTCGTCCTGCACCCCAGCCAGCTCAGACAACACCACCACCACTCACTCTCCACTGCCTACCGCCCATTATCCGTTACCCATTATTCATTTTTCCTTCCTGCCCTTCCTACAACTACCACTTCCAATACAACTGCCCATTTCCATTGCCAGTTTCCGCCCTCATCTTCTCTCATCGTGTGCCGGTGTCACGTCTGCATCTACTTGCTTCTGTTGGGCCTGTCTTGCATCCGCTCTCCTCCCACGGCCCCCTTCCCCCCCCCCCGTTTTAGTGTCTTTTTTTATTTTTTTGTTGTCCTTTTTTTATTTTTTTTTCCCCCGGCTCCCACTCCGCTTTTCTTTTTCCCGCTGTCCGCACCTATTTTGGTGTCTCCGTGTGGTGGGTGGTAATAGTTGGTGCGTGTCGGTGTCTGGATCGGTGTGGTTCCTTCTTACCCACGCTTTCCTTCTTCCTTCCTTCCTTCCTTTCTTCCTTCCTTCCTCCCTTCCTCCCTCCCTCCCTCCATCTCTCCTACAACCCTTTCTACCCTTCTGCTCTTTAGTCACCGTGAGGGTCTCCCCGGCCCTTCTCGACTCCCGTCCCATTTTCTACCCTTTGTTTAGGGGATCTCTTATCGTGTTGGTTGCTGTCGTCATTATTTCTGCCCTCTCTCGCGGGTCTTTCGTCACTTGATTCGCTTGTCCTGACCTCCTCCTCCTCCTGGCTCGGCCCGGCCCCGTCTCCGCCAATGGAACATCGCCATCCTGGGCTTGGCCCTCCTCCGGTCGGCATTCCTCCTCGCGCTCCTCCTCCGCCCCCTCAGAACCATGCGGAGATGGACCGTGAACACGCTCTACAACAGGCATCGCAGAAACGACCACGAATGGATGCTCGCGCTCATACCGTGATTGATCAATACCCACATCCCCAGAACCCCCAACGCTCGCATCCACACTATCACCACCACCAGCAAATGGTCCACGGGGGCATTCCGCCCTCACGCCAACCTTACAAGGATGTCTCAAGGTCCCCCGAGATGGAGAGAATTGGTGGACCTGGGCCCTTTAGACAGCCACCACCACCACCTCCTCCTCCTCCTCCGCATCCCCCCCATCCATCCCAACAACCTCAGCGACACGGTCAGTATTTAAGATTTCTCTCGATTCAGTTACACTTAAAAATCTTTCCTACCCGATCTCCTCTTTCTCGGTTCTGCCCTGTCTCTGTGACTTGTTTGCTTTTTCCCCCTTCTCGTCTGTTCCTCGTGTTTTTTATTTGTGCTTTTTTTGGGGTTACACGAACAGTACTTGCTCGTCATTGCTATTCCTTGCCCTTTTTTTTCTTTTCTTTCTTTCCCCCCCCCCTTTGACTTTCTTCCCGGCATCTTGGTTTCGGAGACACCCACCACCAGCCATTATTGGATCTAGCACTGGATGCTTACTATTAGTCTCGGGACAGAATCCGTACCCCAGGGCAATCCAATCAATCCATCATCAAGTCGCGGCTCACCGTTTCTTCCTCCAAATCGAACATCTACTCCTGAAACCCACCAGAGAATTCCCACTGGGCATGGCTCGCCGCGCATGTACCGAGGTTGGTTACCACGATCACTTCTTCCCCACTTTTGAATCGCCATCTCTTTCGTCCCCAAGTCCTTCCTTTTTCACACAATTGTGAATCGGTCGGGGATACAAACCTATTTTCCATATATCCATCTGTATATCTATATATACTTTGCCCATGCTAATGACCTCCGTTACCCAGGGGACCCTACGCAAGAAGCAATGATGCATCAACCCCGGCACCAGCATCAACATCATCAACAACATCAACAACAACAACAGCAGCAGCAGCATCAGCACCAGCACCAGCAACATCAGCACCAACAGCCGCAACATCAACATCAGCAGCCGCTGCAACATTCGCAACACCCGCCACCGCACCCCCAATATCCTCAGCACCCTCCACCCCCTCCACCCCCACCTCAGCATCACCGAGCAATGCCACCCCCGAGTTCTCCCCACCACCATCCTTTGGCGCCCCCGCAGTCGCAGTCACAGCCGCTCAGACAACCTCCCCCTGGGCATCACCACCCACCGGGTCCTCCGCACTCTACTTTCACCCAAGGGCCTGGTGGGGGTCCTGGACGCGATCCACCACCCCCACCTACGCACCGGCCGAGCATGTCAATCTCTTCAATCCTTGGAGCTAGCGATCCTCCGCCGGCGCCCCCTCCAATATCCACCCATCAACTGCCCCCTACCCCACCCAGACAAGGCGAGTTTTCACCATTGAACCGCCCTACGAGCGCATCTGGTCCAGATAGGAGCAGGGATGTCAGTAGTAATTCTGCTAGCCCGAGCACCGCACACGCTCCATTACCGGGGGCCCCGGGATCCAAAAACAGTGGGGTGGCTCCGCAAGAACATGGGCCCAGAAACAATCAGATACTATACCGCCAACCACCCCCTCCCCGCGATCGTGAGCACAATGACATGCTTAGCCCGCCACCTAGACCTATGTCACAACCGAATAACCAGAGCCAGGGCCCCAGGGGACATGTGCGAAGCGAAAGCCATGGAGATAGATATAGTGGATATTCCAAGGGAGGAGAGGGGTACAGTGGATATCCTAAGGGAGGCGATAGGGGACGTGAGGAATTGCGTGAGCGAGAGGCCCGGGAAAGGGATTTTGAGTTGAGCAAGGAGCGTCTCATGCTGAGAGAAAGGGATATGGCAAGGGAGAAGGAACTGAGAGAGCGTCAGGAGAGGGAAGCAAGGGAGAGGGAAAGGGAACAGCAGCGGGCGAGGGAGGAGAGGGAGAGGGAGAGGGAGAGGGAGAGGGAGAGGGAAAGGAGGGAGAGGGAAAGGGAGAGGGAAGAAAGGGAGAGGGAGAGGGAGAGGGAGAGGGAGAGGGAGCGGGAGCGGGAGCGGGAGAAGAGGGAGAGGGAGAAGAGGGAGAGGGAAAGTGAGAGTGAGAGAGAGCGAGACGAAAGAAGTAGTGGAATTCAAGCTATGGCTGGTAGACCGTTTTATGGCGGAGAACCTAGGCAGGTGGGGCATCAACAGCCTCAAACCTCAACATCTCATTCGTATCCTATGACAATTGCATCAGGAATGCCATCCAATGGTCCACAAAACCATATGGAAATGTCCGGGGTGCCTTCGTCCATGTCGGGGATTCCCAATTCTGCTACAATCTCTCTTCCCCAAACGTCAACAGCTGGAGCCGGAGGGCTTGGCCCTACCCCAGCTCCGTTACCTACAGCTACTACTACTGGGAGGGAAGATCTTAGGCCATTCACGGGATATACTACCCCCATGCCCCCCAGTCCATTTGCGATGCCCGCCAGCCTGCCAAACGTCCTTCCACCTGTGGGGGATGGGGCCCGTGACTCCAGGCGCCAGAATCTGCAGGGTGGGAGGGACGAGCCCGCGAGGGCAGAGGATGCTTTACAGAGAGGGTTGAGCAGAGCTTTGTCTGGTGGGTTGTCGGGTGTGGTAGGAGAGGAAGAAAGGAGAAGGCGTGTGGAAAAGGAAAGGGACGGGAATGCTCGGATGAGCGGTCCTAGCGCCGGGAATCAAAGCCCCAATAAGCGGTTGAGCTCAGGTTTCAGTGTTGGCATGGGTATGTCGAATATGACCAAGAGTTGGGATGATTCCATCCAGAGGGCTTTTCCCGAGGTCAATAGGGAAGATGGTAAACTTTCTAATGCGTTGGGTAAAAGGGAGAGGGACGAGGAGGAAGTTGGCAAGATGGAAAAGAAGAAAAAGCACCACCATCACCCGCCACAGTATGTATCCACTCGTATCTATTGTTATTCTACTCCATAAGGCTAACGGGGAGGGGCACCTAGCGCTGCCCATTACCATCGCCATCACCATAAGGCAGATGATGAGCCAGCAGGGTCAAGCCTCGAGGTCCCGCCGGTAAAGGTTGGAGCGCGATCCAAGTCACCCAATAGCATGTCCATGCCTCACTCGCACCATGTTCACCAAGTGACTGTCCACCATCACCACCCCGCTGCTGTCTCACCGGCCCTCCCCCCACAAAGGGTCAAGACAAGTCTGCTCATAGATTCGTCCAAAGTATTGGCCAGCCTGGCTTCAAAACCGAGGCAGTATCTCGGCTCAACGATTTACCAACCCACGCCGACTCCGAAACAAGGATACTCGGTAACGCAGCCGTTGCTGCCGCGATTCGAAGGCAGGGAGAACTGCATCTTTCAGGTTCGGATTCCACGCAGATTCCTCAGTGTGGAGCAGAGAAGAGATGTGCACAGACGTAGATGTGTGTGGGGCACGGAAGTGTATACGGATGATTCCGATGTTCTGGGGGTATTGGTACATCTTGGAAAGGTCCCCGGAGTGCTCCCGGAGGGGGCGGCCCCCGACCTCGTGGCAGAGACTGGGTGCCGGAAGACTACTAGCCGGGGAGAAATCACAAACATGCCTTCAACAAGCCCACCGCTAGCCAGGAAGAAGGGCAAAGGAGCGCATGCAGTGGATGAGGGACCTGCCGTCCAACCAGGGAAGGATCTTATCGTGAACCTTCTCATCCTGCCGACGCTGCAAAAGTACACCGGGTCGGTTCGAAATGCGCTAAAGTCCCGTAGTTGGAACACCATCCACGACGGCATGAGCTACTCGATATGGGATATGGAATGGGTGGAGGCGGGTGAGGCTGAAGCTAGAGGCGGTGGTAGCAGGAAGCGCCGGCTCGACGAGAGAGAGTGGGTGAGAAGATGGGGTGAACTTCCACCTAGCAGGGGTGGAGGTGGTGTAGGAAAGGTGGGGTGGAATAAGGGGAGGTGGTCGGAGAGCAAGACTGGGATGAGGAAGGGCAATGTTACGGAGGTAGGAGCTTGATTTTGATTTTGATTTTTTTTCTCGCTAGGATTTGCTTTCTTGCTTTGCTTGACAGGGGAGAGACGGCGCCGAACGGAAAAGGGTTTTTTTTTTCTTTTTTCCTTTTTTCTCTTTTCTCTTCTCCTGATCGCGCGCCATCACGAGAGAATAAGTTAAATTGTTTTATCCCGTTTACCGTATCATAGTCTTTTTTCTTAACGTATTATTCTATTTCCATGGGTTTCCTTGAACCGGTTTGGGAGGATTGCTTTCGCTCTACGATCATCTGCTCTACCTTATGGGTGTGCGATACGATTTATTCATTTTTCCCTATATCCTATATCTATCGGTGGGCGGTTGTTTTTTTTTTGTTTTTTTGTTTTTTCTCCAGTATCATAACCAGGATCCCATTCCTTCCTTCCATTTCTCTCTTTGCCATCTACCCGTATTTTCATTCTTATGATACGGTAACTTGACTCATTTATTTCGCTCATTCATCACCATTGTCATCATAGCGCGAGTTTTAAATAAAAAAAAGTATAATAAAAAAAGATATGAGTATTATGATAGACGCAGTACCGGTACTACGGGTATGATTACCACCCTTGATGGCGTACGGTATTCCCGAGAGCGTTCCATCTTGGCGGTGGATGGATTAACTAGTGCTTCCCCCTTGCCTCCCATTACTCGTGGGCTAAGTTGCGGTGCCAGTGCCGTAGTCCACGGTATGGTACGAGTACTCACACAGTTTTTTTATTTTTATAGATGTATTAGGTTAGACGCCGGACGCCTACCTGACCCATCAATTGTAGAGTAATTTACGGGTACAGTACGGTACTGTGCTCGAGTACATTCAAAGTTGACCGAGAAGAAGGGGGGAGAATGCGGTGCGGTGGTGATCCTCTCGGTGCACATTCCTTGGGCGCGCACCGCTACTGTCGCCATGACAGGATCATTCGTACTGTACGGTATAAGTTAGCTACGCACCGTCCGAGCAACACAGCACTAGACTATAATCACCGTAGTCGAGTACTGTACGAGTACACTCCCGAGTCCCGACTCGAATGATGGACTATGCAACCGCAGCATACGTAGTTTAAACTGGGGGGATGGTAGTCTAATCCATCCATCATACTCCACCATTCGTACTCTCCACTCGCACGCTATCACATTAGACTATAGGAGCCTCCCGTACAGTACAGTACAGTACAGTGTACAGTACAATACACCGAACGGTACCGTACGTACATCACGACATCGCTTTACAACATCACGAGTCAACTCATTATCAACACAACAATCAATGCTACGGTACTGTACTAGTACTAGTACCGTACTCGTACCGTCTGATACAGTAAGACAGCACAAGCCCCCCCCCCCCCCTCCGCGCCAATAAAAAGCCTAGCCCTGCCCAGCCCTGCCAACCAACCAACCAACCAAAACTATGTTTCAAATCGGGAACGCCCCCAAAAACCGGGGGCTGACAAGAGCGAGCCGACCGGGAATGTGCGACGATCCATCCGTTTGGAAACTGACTTGACTTTATCGCACGGTATGATACGGTACGAGTACCGTACCTACTTGTACTAGTACAGTACAAGTACTAGGACGAAAAAAGAAAAAAGAAAAAAAAGGATGCCAAGAGACCCGTTTTCTCGCTTCCGAATGTGGATTTGTTGGGTTTGTGGTGAGACATTTTGGAGGAAGCTTCTATTATTTTATTTTTATTTTTATTTTTATCATCATCTGCTACGGTACGGTACTTTTTTTTGTTTTTTTTGTTTTTTGTTTTTTGTTCTTGGGTTAGAATGGAGAGGAAAGGGGGGAAGAAGAAAAGAGGAAAAAGGAGGGTAGGGTAGGATAATGGTATTGTTTGGTTGCTGGTGAATGTGACACTGTGGTCTACTCGTAGACTACGGTATGATATGATATGATGCCGGTATGATACGGTACGGTACAGTACTTGTATGATACCGTGTGATGGATGGTTTTGTCATGTGGTTGCTGGAGCATGCCCGTGGTCCACCAGTATGATACTCGTAGTGTGATGCGATGGATTGTGAGTTATCATGCTTGTGAAGCTCGTGGACAGCGGTACCGTGAGTCTTTGTTTGCAGAAGTGCACTCTCGATGGCTCGAGGATACAGTGTGATAATGTGAACGCGGTTTTCCCCGGGCTGCCCAGTTTGCTTGCTTGTTGAGTTTTGTGGGGGGTTTGGTTCTTGGGTTTTACGGCTGGTTCATGATATCGGTATACCCCATACTATACCGGTACCCGATTTGCCTTTTCTATCTTTTGTCTTCTGCCTTTTTTCCTTGTGGGGTGTTGTGAATACAGTATGGCGGTGGTTGTTCATTCTTTCATCGCCGCGGGTTGGTTAGCGTGCCGTATGGTATCATAATGGCTGGATGGAGGGGGGAGGGGGGGACTGGTTTGGCTTTGGTTTGGAGGGTTGGTTAAAGTTAAGCGGCTCTTGAAAGTGGACTACAGGACCATACTAAATTTACGGTGCTGTGCTACGGGCATGATACTCGTACAAGCACATGCATGATACTGTCTCATACAACCTCAACTATACCTACCACCCCCCGGTCCCCCCCCCCCGCGACCAGACCGACAACCTCATCCCAACTGAGAACACACCATGCCCTCCCTGCCCAAGAAATCCGTGCGCATCGCCCCGGACACCACCCTCTCCAAAAATGAGCGATCGGAAGCTCTTCGCTCCGTGCGCACTATCCTGGACAGTGTCTCCGCCGATTGGACATTCACCCCGCCTCCGCCCACGTCCGTACAGCCCTCGAAATTCGCGCTCCAGCGAAGTGGCAGTCTGGGATCATGGCGTCCCAACGCTGCCAACTACCCGCCCGCCACCCCCCGCGTGAGCGACTCGGAATCGGAAGACGCGGGCTCCGACTCGTCATTGGATCTGGATCTGGACCTGGACCTGGAGGATGGTGTTGGAACGTCATCGTCGTATCGAAGGGCACTGACCCCACCGCCCAGGCCGAAGCGTGTGAACCGGCGGGAGGCGAAAGCCCTGAAGGAGGGTGTCTGGCGGAGGAGGGAGGACGATAGTGACGTCGATGCCCCGAGTATCGTCAGGCGGGAGAGCGAGAGCGGAAAGTACCCCTTCGAGAGCCCGGACGACGTGCCCACGCCGGAGAAACTGCGGGGGCGTGTGAAGCGGGAGATGGAGGCGGAGATGACGTGGAACGAGGGCTTGAGATTGTTTGTCGCTAGACGGGACGCCTGGACCGGCGCCGTGGGGGATGAGGTTCCTGTGCGAGAGTCGAGGTTTAAAGATGTACCCCTTCCCCCTACCTTCCTCACTTCTCGCGCTGACTGGACGCAACCCAGAACCCCCTGACGAGCCTGGTGACTCCCCAAGTGTACCCCCAAATATATAGAAAGGTCGTTGCCGAGGGTGCCATCCCACCCGTGCCCATCGCCCTACCGCACGTGATTAACGCGCTGGTGGAGGGCTGGCAGCACGACGATATGTGGCCGCCGAAGCCGACCAAGCCGGAACCGAGCATGAGGAAGAGGACGGGCGGGGGAATCAAGAGGCTGATGGGTATTAGTTGACTGGCCGACCCCCCCCCCCCACTACCTGCCCGGAGTGCGAGGAGGGGGTGGGGTTTGGTTGGCGGGAAGTCGAAGTTGTAGTTGCAGTTGTGTTTTCCCCCCTATATTTTCACTGACTGATTTGCACTTGGGCGCGATGGGATGAACGGGCTGGAAGATGATTGATCGGCCAGAAGCCGTCACGAACGAATGGATAGATGGATGGATGGAAGAGCCAGAAGGGTTTTGCTTTACCCATACTTGTTGTATGTCGAACGTCATGGCATGATAGAATTTATCTCCTCATTTGTTTCTGCCAATATGGCAAGATGTCAATTCTCCAACTTGCGCCCTACCGCATTACACCCCAAATCTGCAACCACCCGACCCGTTAGACTAACCACCCATACCACCCATCCTCCGTCCCGGACCTCGGCAGGCACGGACGGGACTAGATATGCTGCATCCGTCTTGGCTCCGGCTTTAGGTTTAGACTTGCAGAATGTGAGGAATGCAGCACGGCACGGTAGAGCAACACCATTCATGGTTTCCCACGGACCGTAACGCAATCCACACCACACAGGTCGCGAATCTCCTCCAGCCCTTCTAACCACGCGACGGTAAAGTTTGAAGCAACTTATCCCAAGACTCAATAAACAGAAGATTGGTTGGTGAAGTGCTTCTTGGTTTGGCCCGTGTTATAATATGTTTGGCTTGGCGCCGTGTCCACCATGAATCCCGAGGTTCAAGTGACTAAGTTAACTACACCGTAGCAAATTCATCATGGCCGCTCTCCTGAAAAGGTTCCGTAAAGTGATGGTTCATCTATCATACCCTTACACTGGGGAGGAATTCCACCACATAGGGGGCTAGAAACGATAAATTGTGAGGTGGTATCATAGGTCTAGAGTAAATTTGGAAAAGAGGTTTGGGGGTTTGTTTACGCTGTGTAATAAGTTAGCATCAAGAATTTTTGAAACGGAAAGAAAAGAAGAAGTTCTGGACTAGATTTGGTGTCATGAATATGTTTTTTTATTTTTTATTTTTTATTTGCAGTATCGTGTGATCTACGGGATAGTTACAGTGCGGGGAGAAAGGGCTCGTGGGGTGGGGGGGGAGGTATTGGTACGGATGTGATACGGTAGTGAAGACTTGGAGTACAGGCGCGGTAGTGGTATTGGTGTTCCTTATTGTATATATCTATATGTGCTTACTCGTACTTGACCTTGGTGCTGCCAACTACCGTACTCGTACTGAACTATCATGTATGTCTGGAAACAGGGATTGAAGGTGCGGCGAAATATCCACGAGCACAGTACCGTCCTGCACTGGCGATTGAAAACTCGGACAGAATCTACCCTTCTCTGGTTTTGGGGTATGTACGATACTTATTTCCAAAGGTATCATGCCCATAATAGTATTGATTTATGTCTGCCATATGACCACCGTGAAGCGAGGTGAGGTCCAGCCGACACGGTATGATATCATGATTGCAACGGAGTTTAAAAGCCCTTCTTTCAAGGAATGCTCTGGGGGGTTCTTTTCTTTCTCTCTTTTCCTCTTTCACAATTGGAAAGCGTAAGTGGTCTAGCGCTGTTGATGCTTCCTTATCGATCCATCTTGAAAACAAGGGCTTTACTTAGAGACTTCCCTCCATGTGGCATAACCCAATCTGTGGGAAGGTGAGGGGGTACGCGATATTGCGGGGGGTGTTTGGCTAGGGAACCTGGAATATAGTGACGGTGTTTAATGTTATTGTGTGCCAGTCATGAGGAATCACTCGTGAGGAGTGTTTCGCTGCGTAATTCACTTGAATGGGGGGGGGTATCGCAGGCGGCGCCCTCGTGTCATATCGTCATAATGTAGTACAAATGTGGATATGCGGCATCATACGATGTCTGAGGAGATCTCCTCCTGCTCGGTTAAACCCCCCCCCCTCCTCTCTTTTTCCCCTTTCTATCCTTGAGATTCCGGCTGTGATTAGATTTACTGTATGCAAACCTTGACAGCGGAAATCGAAATTCTTTAAAATTTCCCACAATTTCATGCGATCAGTATTGGGTCGTGACAACTGGCTCATAGGCGTCTCTGATGCCAATGATGCTCCATCCAGGGTAGATGCGTGATAACATCCCGGAAGTTTCCTCGCGTATCATAATTCAAGATATGAATTCCCTCAACCAGTATGATACCTTCCAGTATAAATGGTAAGGTTTCGTATGACAAGTAATAAAAAGGCCAACTTATGCACCCATTATCCCCATCGGGAATCCCCACCTCATCACCCTAGATCCTTCGAAAGGCGCGAATTGTGCATCATGTATACAACAGCTGAATTTATTCTCCAACCCAGGGCGTAAAAAAAGAAACAAAGACGCCACCCTAGGTCCCTTCCTTCCTTCCAGAATGCCTATCCAGGCTTGCTGACGCACTGGGCTTGACCACATCCACCAGGATCGCTCAAACGCTGGATGCCTTATACTATAGGGATCCATAACTAGGCTCCAGCTCTCCCAGAAAACGAATGGTGGACCAAACCTGATTTAGTGCGGAATAAATTTGGAGAGGGTTTAAAGCTTATGCAACTAACGGAACCGACATCAAAAAATGCATTCTGCAAGTCCGGGGAAGCGCACAAACATGATTATTTAACACTTGTGACTATGCTTCATAAATACTCGGGATGCATATTATGCTGATAGGAGTACTCCAAGTCCTACTACCCCAAATTCCCTGCGGCTCACTTGCCATCCGCTCATTCTATCCATGAGCATGTTGGAAACTGCGAGGTGCTGCTTGGAATGCTCTCATGATGGTTTGTTTGTTTGCATAGTCTTTGGGGATGCGCTTTAGCTTTCAGGAAAGCATTCAGGCTTCTGGAATGCACAGAAGTTTTTGGATCGATGCACCTACTAGAAGGAAAGCGGAAAGGCTATAAGGAAGGCCGGAAAGTCAACTGTCTGCAGACTATAGACGGTGGGAGTTTGTCTTTCCTTAGTTCGCATAGGAGTCAGAGCAAGAAGGGGGAGCATACTACAATAGCATAGAATTGTGTGGTAGTCTATGGAAGGTTAGAAGGACCCAGTTTGTTGTTGATATATACTCCTGTCTTTACCGTTAGTTAGTTGAGAGTGTATATAAAGAAGCGAACTTCCCCGTCCTGGGTTGTATGATTGTTTGATGTGTGAGATCTTGGCAGGGGGGGGGGGTTGGCGTTTTTGCGGTTTTTTCGGTTTGCTGTCGCTATCGTCCTCATAAATCCTCATTTGGGGGAGCAGGCTGGACCAAATCCCACTATGCGGTCCTACAACGGAATTGAGGAGGATACAACAAGGCAGTCATTCCTTAACAGACCCTATAGATTGTGAGGAAAAGTCAAATTTCCTCCTCGCATCTCGCAGCCGTTAATTGTGTTGTGTCACGAATCAGGCATTTCGGTTTTATCTCCCTCTGGAATAGTCGTTTATCCTTGGACTTTGACATTTTTGCCTTCTCTCCTGCTTCAACGGTTATCCTCGATACATGGGATCCGGAGGTCAAGAGCTGGTTTAGCAAGAATGAATGGAACGAGATAACAGCAAGACTATCTCCCTTGCCAGATCCCAACTGCAGCCTACTGGATTCATTCAGACAATTCAATGCTGTCGAGACAACAACTATGCTCCACGGGGTCCTTAAGTCAGGTCTGATTCCTGACGGCACTACCTACGACCATACCCTTCATTCTACTTTGCAGTGGGCCGAGATGGTCATTCATAAATTGCATGTATTCCTCCTTTTTTTTCTCCCTTTCAGATCGTTCCTGTACAGAGACAATAACTAATACTGGAACCTGTTCCCACCAGCTTTATGTTCTTCGAAGCACCCGACAATCCACTCAGACGCCCACATAGTGACAGCTGGTTCAATCACAACATCTGGTCTGACATCCTTGACGCTGGCCTCCAAGACATTCAGCACCATATGAAAGCATCTTCTCACGCCGCCATACCACCCAGCGATGGGTCCCGTAAATACCCCCATATCCCCAGATGTCTGTTTTCTCATGCTGACACAACAAGCTCACGGAGTTGAGATTCCACACATGCTAGTTCAGAGTAAATTAAACCATCTCCATTGGTTGCTCGGATTTCAATTATGCTACATTAATCTTCATCCCAGGCTTCTAAATCTAGAGCCTATAAAGCCAACTCTCCTCTATCCAGCCATCTTTTATCTCCACATATCTGCCTTAATCACTCTTTTTCTATGACCTGGTGAGTGAATTGTGTCAACTCTGGTCCTGATTCTTTCTGTCGGGTCAGGTCAGGTCTGCTGATTCAGAGTCTGAGATTACCCATTCGAAGGCCTGCTCGGGTAGGTAGGGGCCCTCTTGGGGGAGACACTATCTGCGCGTATTGCCTTGGGGTTCATCTCCTGCATCAGATTCTCCGTTGCGTACCTGACTTTTTGGTCGATCTTGTTATCATTCATCAAGTTGATCTCCTCCCTGAGAAGCTTTATCTCTGCCTTGACGCGCTCTTCCGCAAGGGCAGTGGACCTGGCTTCTTGGGCAATACACTCCCTCAGCCCCAGGAAACTACCCGCCAGTATTGTAAGGAAAATGAGTGGCACTGGGGTGACGAACTGGGCTGGAAAATAGATTAGCACACAATCAGAACACTAAGCTCCTCGAAGCTCTAGGATTTTTCAAACAAACCAAGGATTGCGCCCAGAATTGCATACCCCAGGTCTTTAATGGTAAACATCTTTCCGCTTGGTGATTCCGACATCCTTGTTGTTGGAAGCCCGGGGCCAACCCAAGTTTAAGTAGCCCATCTCAAGCCCATCGTTACCTTGCCATTACGTGTCCTTTGGCAGAAAGAAGGGGAAACTAGCGTAAATGACTGGTCTCCCTGCTCGCGAACTCCTTCTTTGCTCTGCCTCACCTGACCAACAATTGCTCTGACGAGTGTTCGCATCAATGCACGACCTCGATTCTTACGCCGACCGAGCACTATCCATTGCAGTTCACGTGCCGGTAGATAAACACCAATGATCGCCGGCAGCCCGGATTTTGAAAGGCTAAAGTCAGGTACGTTCCATACCAGCTCTCACTACTCTTGTAGGATTTTGCCAACTGGACCATAACCCAGCACCTGGCTAACTAAACAAAAGGCACGTTGTTGATTTCCCCGCAAGGAGGACATCAGGATGATGGCTGTGAACCGGTGGTCGTAGTGAAAATCTAGCGCTCAAAAGACAGGATCGGTAACTCGGACCGAAGAGGAATCTCAAAAGTCGCCTGGCATAGAAATTGTGGTGCACGCTAGTTACCCGAGTAGTGCTGGTGCCATCCCCCGTTGCGTTAGACTGTCGTCTATTCTGGTTATGTACAGTACTCGTACAACCACTCCAACCGTTCTTGGATACTACCGTAATAAGGAAACCCCCCCCGCTCGGGACCCCGAGCATCGATCGGCATTTACTCCCAAAGGGATTGAGCCCACCGTAAGGTTTCGCTCACCATACTTTGCGGGTAAAATTTTCCCTTCCTTCTTCCCTGCTCACATTCCGCAGACCCCCAGCGTCGGCCCGATTCCGGGGCACGTTGAGAGTCCTCTCCCCGGGGGCGAGCAAATACGCAAGCAGGAGGAAAAGGAAGAAAGCGTGATGTTGGATTGTGGGCATATAGTACTCGTATGGTAGTGGCCTTATTATATATAATCCAGATAAGCTTGGCAGTTTCATAAACGACTGCATAACAAGCTAGAGCAAGACCCTCGATGAAAATCATTCACTCAGTGCGTTCTTGCCTGGGTCTTTTTTTTTTCTTTTCTTATAGCCCAATAACACCTGTTACGGCTTCTGGGAAAATACGGAGATTTCGTAGGAGGACTCCTTTAGGCTTTTCGACTGACCAGAGGTACCCGTTGATTAGATTTTTGTTCTTTCTTTGTTTCTTCGTGCCATTCTACCCGCCTTTCCAGGCAGCTCCCAGCAAGCAAGCAAGCATAAAGGGGCGTTGGTAAATACCTTGGCGGTGTTTTCTCCCCTTCCTCCTCTCGTTTGGGGTATGGAAAAGGAAACTGCTGTAAGGGGACTAGGTTGGACATCTTAACTCTGGCTGCGCAACGGAATATCATATAGAGATATATATTATATAAACTGGTATAACCACTTTAGGCTGGTGACGTTGATAAAGTTGAAAATTGCTGATTTCGAACCTTTAAGGGAACGAACCTTACTGTCTGGTGGTGGTAATAGTGGTATAGAGATCTTATAGGAGATATTTATTAGAAAGCATCCCTCAGTTCAATAATACCCAGCTTATGAGAGTGTGCAGAAAGCTTTCTTCTATATTTTTAATCGATCCCCAACCTTTCACGAGTATCATCATACGCGAGTACAGTAGAGGACCAACTTATCCAGAGAACTCTTGCCAAATAGACCATCTGCTCCAGCGGGGCGTGGAGCCAAACACCCTCGACAACACACCTGGATGGTAAAGTCCGGTTCTCCACCCACACATACAAACGCAACAATCACACGCAAGTGCCTACGGTGTGCCGGACTCGCGACGGGGAGGTCCTAAATCTTCTCCCCACCTGTACTTTGTCGGTATACGGTAATTTCCGAGGAACAGGAACCGCCGCGGATTGACCGCTTTTTTCCATTGCGATGACGACATCTGATCCGCTTATTTTTCGGGGTTCCTTGGATTGGATGCCGAATTGAGGAATCTGGCTCTGGAGAGCGAGTTTTTGGACAAGTGTGGCTGGTGGTGAGTTGGTTTCAATAGGAACCGGGGATACGCTTAGGAATGGAGCTGGCATAATGGTTACTGGTGGTGAGTCGGGCTATTATACCAGTATTGACAAGTTCATTACCCCCCTGCGCATCAGGGACTACCATAGCTGGAATGTGCATGGTATGGTAAAACATGGACTAGTGGAGATTCAAAATGTAATGCCTGATATGATCAGGTATAGGCTATTTGATAAACAAATCTTGAGTCATGAGGTTTCATGCTCAACACTAATTACCACTTGTCATTGTAAGTTTTATTCTCCTCTGATTTGATTGTTCTTATAATTGAAACTTAGTAAGTAAGAGGAAACATATCGTTTACTAGTGGCTGTATCCTTTTATATTCATATCATGTTATCATAAAAGAAAAATGTTTCCGTCAATGAAAAACCTCAACAGGAATGATGGGACTTGAAACAAAACATGCGACTTAGGAAATTCAAATTTGTAATTAAATACCCTACGCCCTGCTTATATAAGGCATTACATCTTGAATCTCCACTGGTCCACGTCCGGCGCCATATCTACCGCTACACCATAAGGGTTTTCCAGCGTTCACAACAGCCCTCTCCTCCCAAGGCGGCAACAGAGTTCAACACATTCGTCACAGAGAGTCACTCGACTGAAAGTCTGAAAAGTAACTCCACCAGCCACATCCCCAAGCCACACACACAACACCGCGACAAGGGAATCATACGTCATCAATCAACCGCACGAGAACAAAGCAAGACATCACCGACCCTGCAGGATAAAGGCTAAAGCACCTACCCTTCGGCCCTTATTCCCTTCCCTCGATTCCGACTTCCCAGAACTTCCGCGGTAGTCTATCTTTCCACAAACTGGCCAATCCCCTAGCACGCGAAATCGCAAACCTAGCTAAGCCTAACCGAACACTATGTCCCAACCCGCCTCCACATCTACTCGTACCGACCCAAGGCCAAAGCGCCACCAACTAACCCTCGATCAACGGATCCTCATAATCGCAAAGCGCGCACAGGGAAAATCTTACCGAAGCATATCCGAGGAGACCAACGTCTCCAAAACGGAAGCCATAACGATCGTCAAGCGCTGGGAGAGCAACCGAGAACTCCGTCCGCGACCCGGACAACCGGAGAAGGGGCTGAGAGAGCAGGATCGGCGACGCCTAGTGCAGATCCGTGAGGAGTGGCCGTGGGCGTCGGTGCGGGAGATATGGGACGAGGCGGGGGTAACAGGAGCGGTCGTGGGGGTGGGAGTCAGGACAGTCAGCAGGTTTTTGCGGGGGGTGGAGAGGGAGAAGAAGAGGGTTAAGAGGGATGGAGTTATCCGCCAGAAGAAGGGTGGGAAGGTGTAGGTAGGTAGGGTTAGGGATTTCGTTATCGATAAGGGGGACTTAAGCGACTCACTCACTGTCTTTACCACATTTTCACCCCAATCTTCAATCTCTTTCTCAACAACAAAACCAAGCAAAAAAAACAGACATGCCGTCAATAACCCTCCATCCGACCCCCCTCTCACCCCCTCCTCCCCCACCAACAAACCCCCTTCCACAGCTCCTGCATACCCCCTCCGGCCTCGCAATCATCGAAATCCAAGGATCCATAAACCTCCCCCAACAACCACAGCCCCCCACCACCACCGCCTCCGACTCGCAGCAACAGAGCTACGAGACCCCTGTCGGCAGACTGGTCTTTCCAGATGGCGACCTAACGTCTTCCAAGTGGGTCCACTTATATGTCGGTAGGCATCAGCGGCTCACAGGCGAGGTGAAGAAGCTGGCTACGCCGTTCGGGGTTCTGCAGAGGAGGGACAATTCCGCCGGCGGTGGGGGCGAGGACCGAGGGTGGGAAGGGGAGGAGTTGGAGATTTTGGAGATTGTGAGGTGGAAAATACTGTTTTCGCAGAGGCCTGAACCGGTTAGTTAGGGGGTGCTATGGGTCGGCGGCGAGGGACCGTGACGGATGATGCTGCGGGAGGACGGGTTGTGGACTTGACTACTGTGTTTTCTGTTTACTGGCGTCAATATATCCTCGTTAATTCTGGCGTAAGATCCGGCGGTTCGCGAGAGCGAAGACTGAAAAAAAATTGGAGATACGGCGAATCGAACGCCGGACCACCTCTATGCTAAAGAGGTATTATACCACTAAACCATATCCCCATTTGTTAGCATTCATCACGCGTAAGCATTGATATCCGAATTCACGATGTCTCAAAGTCCGAAGCCATGCATGGCATTACCCTATCTATCCATATCTATCCCAATCATAACAAGAATCTCCAACAAAAGTTAACCCTCGCCATACTAAATCCGTGCCCGCAACTTTACAAGTATCCAAAGCACATTCAAACCAAACACCGAATACACAACAATCCCCCACAAACCCATATACTACACTATCAGAAACCTAAACTAAACAAACACCCCCCCAATTGCTCCATCCCTCCTCCTCCCGCCCCTCATATTCTCCTCCCTCCAAACGCGCAAATCCAACCCCCTGACCAACCCCTCCATCCACTCACTCCTCGCGGCAACCCTAAGTAATCCCTCGACGACTCTTCCCAATTCCTCCCTCTCCACCCCAAGCTTCGGCGCCAGCACTTCCCGCTGAGAGGCAGGCCGCGTAACGTACCAGATCCCGTTATGCAGGTTCCACTCTGTGCGTAGGGTTTTTGTTAGTGTTGCAATTGTTGTTGACTTCGTGTTTGTTAGTGGAGCGGGGGTCGGGTCGGGGGGGGAAGAGGGAAGGGGGAGGAGTGGGATAGCTGGGTTCGAGATGTGCTGCGGGATGGCGGCGGCGTGGGTCGTTAGATTTTTCGCAGTTTCGTATGCTGGGTGGTGGGGGGCTGGGGAGATGGTGTCTAGGAGGGGGATTGCGCGGGTTAAGATTTTTAGAAATAAGGTGTAGATTGCGGTGTTTATCGATGAAGAGAGGATTTCCGGGGTTGGGAGTCTGCTTAGTGATGCGTGGATTGAGTTTAGGAGGGCTGTTAACATAGATGCCACGGATTGGACGCAAGCATCCATTGTAGAGTCTACGTCTAACCAGAGCTTTGCAAGTATATTCTCAGTGGCTTGGAGTAGTGGCGTGCAGAGTATCCACCCCGCAGGGTTAGTAAACATAGACTCGATATACGCCGGGAATATCGCCTCCATAAACAGCGACCGCAGGCTGGGCTTCTGTGCCGTGCCCACTTCCAATTCCCCGGACAGCGCAGTGGTGAGTTGGTGAACAAGGTACTCTTGCTGCCCATCGATCGCCGCACGCTCACAGACGGATTGGAAAAAGCTGGTGAGTTGCTTGTGCATGCGCTGGTGTGCGAGCTTCTGGCCGTAACTCTTGAGCCGACCAACGACGTACGTAGGATCAGCGGACGGCAGCGGGAACACACTCGAATCGGTGAAGAAGCGGTCGATCGCCACGATGTCGGTCGAGTGCTGCTGCAGGTACTCAACCACTTGCTGCACAAATTCGACGTATGCGCCCGAGGCGGATTTCGCTCGGATTTCCTGCTCATACATTAGAACCATGGTGCATCGATAGATGTGCGGGCATAGTACTTGATAGATCTCCTTCATGGACTTCATCATGGATTTTAGCATCTCTGAGTACTCGAGTTTGAGCGTTAGGGCTCGTTGCGCAGAGTCGTCGTGGGTTTCTTCGTAGTTCTCCCGCATGTTTGCGAGGATTGCTGTGGGGATGTTAATCGGGCGCCAGGAGTGATGAGGTTGTATGACTTACTGGATATTAAAGATAAACGTCGAGCTCGGAAGTCGGCCAGGGTGATTTTGAACTCTCCATTCACCTCGTCACGCACGAATGGTGGGTTTGCAAGAATTGGATTAGTAGGATCACAGTTGAGGAGAGTCGCAGTATACTCGTTCTGGAACTTGAGCAGTGACTCCCTTTCCACTAACGTCTTCAACCAGAAGGATATAAACGTCGTCTTGTTGGGCTCGTATATTTCTGGTCCCGACTGTATCACTTTCGGAATGAAATACGCCGTGAACTTTCGAGTCTGCCCCGTGTCACGGAGTGATGCCCATGACTCTGGGTTATATTGATCAAGATATGCGTCCCAGTTCTGGCGGATCAGTTAGCATCATTGGCCTTATCAAGAGAGCACCAACCTACCTTCAGCCCGTGTCGGACTAGAAATCCAATGACTAGAGCCCATGTATCAACGGTTTTGATTAGTAAACTATCTTCTGGTTGTATATCGCTACCAAAGCAGTTGGAGAGCATCCTATGTAATGCTTCGTATACAGTAACGGACAATTGCTAATATTGTTAATTGAACGCCTGTGAAAAATAATAATAGAAGCCTGGGCCCATACCTCAGCTGCTGCCTTTTGATCAGCCCTAATCATGATATCGTCGAATCCCGACCAGTCTCCGTAGTCCTGGCTGTCCTCACTTGCTTGAACGGAAACACCAGCGGATTCGTCGGCACTCTTAATAACGACCAAATACTGCTGGATCAAATCAAGAGCTTCGAATATCAGTCTATTCGAGAGTCGGCCGTAAGAATTCAATACATTCGCAGTGGAGGCTGCCCTTTACTTAGTTTATGTACCACAACAATGACCGACCAGGGGTAAATACCTTTTGTGAGAATTATAGTCGCGCTCTGTGTCTGTCCTTTAATTCCTGCTAGTGCAGTGCGCAATGACTTCAACGCGTCAATAAGGGTACCCTCGAGTTGTTGTTGATTACGGCGGATGTTATCCTCCATAATGTCTTCCGTTAACTCCGTATCACCCCTCCCCTTTACCGCGTTAAAGTGCCTTTCCGCCTCACTCCGTGCGGCATGGTGCTGATTCAAGACCGAGCTTGTAAAGTGGTCGAACCACTGCATGAACGGCTTCAAGGAGCCCAGATCCTCACCGCTGTGCAGCTGAAAGCGCATAAGATTCAGCCAGGTTCTAATACTAACGATGCAAGCTTGCCGATGCGACAGATCCGGGTCCACCAGATACCAGATTGCCTCCAGTGGAGGACGGCATCGAGGCGGAGAGGCCCACCAAAGTGTTGAGAGTAGGTCATGGTGGTTTCGCAATGCGGTAAGGTTTTCTACTTGGAGCTCCTCATCCTTGGGATATTTGCGGCGGTGGTTTGGCATCAGCCTATTGACAAGATTCCCAACCTTGTTGATTGGCGTTGATGCCCTCATTGCATGAAGGCCCAAGCCGACAATCTTCAACAGCAGATGGAAGCAAGGGTCGGAGTCCCGCATTTGCAGAGACGGACTGCCGTCGAGATTTTGGAGGAAATCCGGGGAGCCGGAGGTCTCCTCGTTCCTTAGATTGGCTAAGCTCTTGCTCGCAAAGAATTCGTAAAGTACCGGAATGATAATATCGGTATTCAACCATCCCCACTTCGTAATAAGGTGATGACATCGTGCATATAGTGTCCTACAGTAGGCATTGATTGTGCCAGAATGCCCTGCCACATTTGCGTTGTACACTTTCAGAGGTCGACTAATGAGAACTCTCAAAAGTGCCCAATTCTCAGAGAGGTTTCCATCCCTCACCGGCCCTTGGACAGCTCCAAACTCATCGAACTGGTATAGCGGTAAGATTGCCCAGATTCTACACCAGTGCTTCTCGAAGATTCGTATATCTAAAGCCCGCTCAATTTCTAGAGGCCGCAATTCGTTATTTAACAGTTGCCAAAAACTAATATCCTGATAGTGAACTGAATCCAATGCGTATATCGCGATAACCCAGGACTCAACGAGGTAGTGCTTTGGATCTATCCCACGCTCGTAGTTGGCGATCACTCGCTGATCCTCGTAGCATTCCCTAATAGCATCAAAGCCGCATCTTAAGAGGCAGCCAAGCAATTGATGTCCTAGTCTCCTGATCGTCCTATTCAGCTCTAGTCGCTCCCGGGCTTCAGGATCCTCGGACGCCAGTTTATATATCTGAAAAGCAAACAACAAGCCAAAGACATGGAGCTGGACCGCCAAGCGCGTGGACGCCTCGTTTAAACTAAGAGGTGTGCTCCCTCCCAGGACCGGTAAGACCCGGTCACAGGATGCATTGATAGCCTGCAATATTCGTTGACCAAAAGATATCAGGTCAATGGAGTCAGAGAAAGATATCACCTGGTAAAGATAGTTTGAGAAGAAGACGTAAAACGAGTAGGTCCGAGCAGCCGACATATGGGCCTCAACATTGTCACCCCCCTCACATGCTCTCTCTACAAATTCTGCGATATCCTGCATGATCGACTCAAACTCCGTCGCCATAGAATCTTCGTAAACGGCCCAACGAACGAGTTTACTACCAAAACGAAAACTGCTACTGTGGTTGAAGGCCTGAAGTTTGGAATTCAAGGCTTTGGATAAACCTCCATTTCCTATGAACGTCTCACTATTGAAGATTGTTCCGGGTTTGAGTGGAATTGCATCGAAAGATAATGTGTATTTGCTGCCATAGGGCAATAATCCGGCAAGTACAGGCTTTTCATCTATGGTTGTGTTTAGAGCTAGCTCGGGAGACGATTCATCATCCGCATCACCAACGATGACTCGATCTTCCGGAGGAGGCTGACGTCGTTCAATAGTTTCAGCATCAACTCTCATCGGCGTACGCTTTCGCCGGGACCGAGGAGGTTTCACAGCCTTGGGGATTGGAGCTGGGGCAGGCTTGGGATCGCTGCGTATAATTGGCAGTGGATTAACCAAATCTTCATCATCCATAAATCTTCCCAGGTTGCGGTGCCTTCGAGCTGTTGTCCGTAACAGCTCGGCCAGATTTGGTCGTTGCCTCTGCCGAGGCACTTTCCGGGGTCTTGCGGACGCGATACCCGGTAGCTCATCTTTCTCGAACTGTGCAGGCTCGGGCATAAAAAATGGCCGATGTGTGATGGCATTTGGTCTTGCTGGCGCAGCCGTCACATTCAATCGCATTTGGCCCTTTTGACGCAAGCTATAGGCACCATTAACCCTACACAATAGCGGCCGTGTACGCATAATATTAGTGAGAGTAGTCTGCCTAGGTCGTGGTCGCCGGGAAGCGCTCGCTCCTACTGAGGAAAGTCCGAGATCCAAGCCCAGCACCCCAGCGGGGCATTGGTCCATAGTGGGTGACGGTGATCTCACCGGAGGAGCATCGTCAGTAGGGCCTTCATCTGGGGAATCATGTACTCTGATGGCTATGGTGCCTTCCCTCCATTCTCTCAGAACGCTCTGCACCTCCTGCGTGTCTGCCGCAGTGTCCAATCGGAAGACCTTCTTTGACGGGTCTTGCCTTCCTTTTGACCTCCTCCCCCTTGCACTTCTAGTGGCAACCTTGAGAAAGGCTGGGGGAGATATCTCAGGATTAGTAGTTCGATGATGCCTCACCGCATCTATGACCCCTAACCGAGGGGCCTTCGGTTTTCTTTTAGTAGGCTTCCTCCATGTGCCTAGATGGTTTGTTATCCTCGGCTGCTGAAGGCGCGAACCACTCCCAGAATTCCTAGCACCACCAGGCCTGCCAGCGCTCATACCCTGAGGTGCTCGGGATGGCCCGTTCTGGTCCCTCTGTTTCCGTTTTCTAGGCCCGCTATTCCGCTGAGCTACCGGAAGCATACGGTCGATTCTATCATCCTCTACGACATCATCAATTTCGATTACCTCAATCTGACGTTGGCGATGAAGGAGTCTCGGACGGCCCGAAGGAGGCGCTTGAGGTTGTATATTCGCCGGTCCGCCTGAATCATCTGAGTCATCACTAGGGAGAAAAGTGGCACCGGCTGGAGACCTTGGCCTAGAAGTAATCTTTGCTCTCGCTACGCCAGGTCGGGGAGTGAGATCCTGTGCTGGAGTTGAACTTCTCCGATCACGGCGAGGATCATTCGTTGAGCCAGGATGCTGCTTCTTATCGAGTTTCCACCAAGAGGCAGGAAGTACACCCGCTGTCTTGCGTTGCAAACGACGGACTTCTTGTGATTCATCGTCTGACTCTGATGGAGTGAGCTCTCCTTCAGGCGGAGATGAAGGTAATTCAAGCACAGTTCTCGCGGGACGGGCTCGAGGAGTATCACAATCTTCCGACCCGGGCGAAATAAGCCGAGGCCTCCTTCGGCCACTAGGTGTCGGCTCAATATCAGATGATGAATCAAGAAGAGAAAGTATGCCTCCCCTTTTTATACCCCGTTCTTGAACAGGTTGCTGTGGGGTATTTTTAGTAGGTGACCCATTAGGTGATGTCTGCGCAAGTGGTGTTCGAGATTGTCTCTGGGGCGAGTCCTCAGGCAACTCATATACGTCTCTTCCGTTTTCATCGACTTCTTCCCGGATGCTGGAGGGGGTTAAACGAGCATTCCCGGCACTTTGACCTGCACTCAGCTGAGGTCCGGCAGTATTTGCATACGGGCGTTTTGAATATGTATGGTTTACTTTGCGCCGCTTCACGCCATCTGCCAATGCACTATTAGGCCTAGGCCTCTCCCATAAAGCGCTCGCAGCATCAGGGAACTCCTCAAAGTCATAAATATCTACCGGCGTATCACCCTGTCCTCCGGATCCATCCCTACCGCAGGATGGCACCGACACGAACTGACTTTCGTCATTCTCCGGTTCCGGGGGCGCTACATAGTCGCGCTCTTGGGAGTCCTCATCTGCACCAAGCCCTCCATTTGTTTCCTCTTCAACCTCACTAATTCGTACTGGTCGGACACCTCGAGCCTTTAGTGTCTGGCGGTATCGTTCTTGCTCTATCAGATATGGATTCTTCTGGATTGGCTTGCGTGCACGGAGGCTTCGGTAATACTGTGGTGCATCATCATCCGGAGGTATTACTACTTCTTCCCTCCTTCCCCCTGCCACAGGAATGACAACCGAGAAACCAACACGGCGGGGTGGAGTTCGTGCAGCAATGATCGAGGGCGGCGTTAGCACAACAGAAGGCGGCGATGATAGAGGAGAAGATGCAGCCGTCGAGTCACCCCTGCTTGGGTTCGGGGGCGTTCTTGGTTGAGGAGTAGCGTGCCTCTAGTTATTGTCAGCAATGCGCAATCTATCCGGGGGTAGAGAGTAACACACCACTCGACTATTAAAACTATGTTGTCCCTCCCCAGTCACCGGATCAGGCGAAGAGCTTATCGGGCGATTGACCTGATTCTCCTCATGGTTGTCTAAGTTGAGCATAACTTCGTCTTCTCCGCAATCCATTGCTCTAGCTCGCACGGGGGACTCATCGTGCTCCTCCAAATCCGGAGCGGACAAGTCCACAACCGAAACTTCATCCCATTCCTTTCTCTTATCGACATATCCGAGCTCGGGTTGTGATTCAAATTCCTTCCCAATCTCACGGACTTCTTCAGATGGCTCCAGCTCCTCATGTTGACTGCTCTGGCCAATTCCCGATATACCTTTTCCAACCTCGCCGATTCTGCTTGAAGGTCCAGGTAGACCACCCCCCGTTGCATCATCATTCAATGCCATATCCCTCTCTTCCACGCCCCCTTCAGCTTCATCCTGTATTTTTCCGGTCTCAATTCTAGCACTTCCATTTGCCCGGTCTTCGTCCTTAAGTTCCGTAATTTTCTCGGGCTCCGGCGATCCCAATAACTCCTCCTGGGTGGATATTTCGCCGTCAGAAACGTCGCCGTCGGAGGCGGCCACATAACCAGTTTCCTTCCAGTTCGCCATGTCACCATATGTCGTGAAGTTGACTCTGTTGTTCTTTTCTTTGTGCGTTCTTGTAGCACATTTCTGGCGCTATAAGCGTTGTCTTGGGGGCACCGGTCGCGTAGCCCGGACGGGAGAGGCGAAGAGCCAAAATTAGTGTCTCCAACGCGACGCAACTCAATTAACGCGTCCCACCAGTACTACCCGTTTTCAAAAGTATCCGGATGCCTTGGCGCCAAGACATCCAAGTTTACTCCTAAGTGCTCAAGCCTTGGCGCCAAGGCATCTGAATACTTTTGAAAACCGGTAGTAGACTACCTTGGTACCGGTAATTACCGTATCATTCTTGAGTAAGCAACCGGTAGACTACAAGGTCCCGCGAAGGCGAACACCGTGCTCTATCCAAACCACCCAAACCAGTCAATTTTTACCGAAATATAGTAGATAACATAAATACGATTATTATTCGATGACTCAAAAGAAATTTCATACATTTTTTTCTTTTTTTAAAAAAAAAAATATCTAGAAGAACCGTCAATCCAAATACCGTTACGGTATCTTACACCCATCTATCACAGCACAATACCCCCCGTACCGTACGCAATACGATTCCTCCCCAACCCGCACGAAGCCCATCTCATTACCCTCAAATCCCCCTGCTCATCCCCCCACGGACAGCAATACGGAATAAGCTTGAGATGCGCGGTCAAGCAGCAATCATTCCTGTCTGCTTCGCCGTCATCTTTGGGGTCGTCAATGGTTCCTCCTCCTCCCACTAATAACCAACCCTTCTTACGGCCACTTGACAAAAGTCTCGGTGAAACGAAACTTCGCTTTGGCCAAGACTACCGGTACTCGAGTACTAGGGGGTATTGCGCAATTGGCGACCTGTGTGCAGGGGCCCTGTCAAAGAGGCAAAAGAGGGAACTTGTTTCACCAAGACTTTTGTCCAGTGGCGACATTTTTTCTTCAGTTATGATGCTAACTTGTGGCGCAGGCATAGCTATTTTCCGGCCACTCGTCGTGGAACAAAGACTTAAGACAATTCGAGAACAGTTAATCCCCCAACCGCCGGGCTTGATTACAACTGACATAGAGTAGGAATGGGATTGTGGATCATGCGGCCGACGAGATCCCATCATCCAATGATCAGAAGAAGCTACCGGTTCGTTTTGAGCTTGAAGCAAACAAAATGCAGAATAAGCAGGCGAAGGAAATGGAGACCACGGGAGCGCCGAACCCGGCCCGAGAGACGGGAGACGAGGGGGAGACGAAGCCCGCGAAGGTTCCGACCAGTTGGTATCAGTTTTGGCGGTGAGCAGTAGGGGCTGTAATGCATTACATGATCTATTGAACGACAACAGTTGAATCGGTATCGCCCATGGAGCCAGGGCTTTTGAGGAAATAATCTTGTCGAGCTCTTAGCTAGCATCGCAATTCCCATGTTGCATTGTAAAAGCAGCAATCCACCCGGGCCTAATCCCTTTCACGATGCCGCCTAGACCGTCGCCTACTATCATCCCTTCTCATTGGAGGATCTAACCTCCTCCTTCTCCTCCGGGGCGACTCCGACCGCCGTCCACTCTCCCCACCACCCTCACTTCTTCCCCTGCGAGGCCTTCCTCGCGAGGGTGACCTCGATCTTCTACTTCTCCTCCTCCTCTCCTTATCACCTCGCTGCACATAGCGTAACTTGTCTGCGCACTCCCCACAAACCCTCGCGGTGACGAGAGCATGTTTCTTCTCCCCGTGCTCAACATATTCAAAATTAAGTTCAACGCTTCGTAAGCCACCCTCTTCATCGGGATTCTCATCCAGTGTGCTACGGTGATTCCGACATGATAAATTCGCACAGGAGAACTGGCCCTTTCCATCGAGCACTTCCTGTTTGGTTCGCCATCTCATGGCAATCTAGCATATCAAATATTAGCTCGAAAGAAGGTCCAAGTGGAATTGGAAGCAGAGGAAACCTGTTTTTCTCGCCATCTTGCCAGCTCTACCATCGCAAACTCCTTGAATAGTTTATCATAATAGCTTTTTGCGATCCTTTTTTCTTCCGTATTCGCTTCTTCGTTGGTCCGGATGAACTGGTGATGATCCTCCAAGATGTCGCGTTCGTTTTTGTATTTCGCCGGTGTGGGAACAGTTCCGCCGTAGTAAGAAACGTAAGCTGAGGCAGCTTGCAAATGCCGAGCATAGGCAGATGTAGCACCGGATGACTGAGCAAACGCTCTGCTTGTCGGAGACATCGTGGTTCGGTGTGAGGAGAAGCTGTCCTCCTCGCTGCACAAAAGAGCTTGGGAGGGTGGCCGCCTTGGCGAGGCACGGGGCCAAGAACCCAGTCTTGGCGCCAAGTCGAATGGGGCGAAGGTACTCGTATTTAAACAACGATCTTGCCCGCTCCCCACCGCTCTTCATTGCACGCGTGTTACTTGTTAGCCACAATTTCTTCCATCGGCCAAACGAGCGTCAAACCGAGCAAAGATTAATAGAATTTCTCGCAAGTTTGCTGTGAGGTAGACGTCTTTGAGGAATTGATTGCCCGACTCCCCGGGCGGTTTGCCGCTCTCCCGCCGAGAATTCATACATTTCTATACCGGTATACCGGTACTTCATGCTATCATATCATACCAAATTTAGGATGGGGAGTCAGGCCCCCGATGCCCATTAGCTGCGCTTTTGCCAATAGCCGTGTGATAAGTGGACGGACACATCAGCCAAGATCACCGCATGAGCCTTTGGAGACGATGTACCCCCCAAAACAATGTTCCCGCGAGAGCCTTAGAGGCAAAGGAGAAGGAGAGCGGCTCGTAGGAAGTCTTTCGCTCCAGTACGAGTATTGTGCTGGTACCCGCACACTATAGTACGAGTACAGTACGAGTACAGCCCAGTTCGGAATGTTGCCCTTGCACTACCCCTCGCAGCTGTTGCGGGGCTGCGCAGTCTCGTAAGTGTGTCAGCTCGTGGAGAGCTCCAAGAAGCAAATAAAATACAACGAGACTACCGGTACCCTCCCATCACTTCAACCATCCTTCGCTCAATCCTCAAACCCGACATATTTCTCTGCAATACCCCCAAACCTTCCCCCCTCGGCCCTCATCTCTGCCCCATCATGCCCATCACAAGAAGTATACTCCAACATTTCATGATCCCCCCAACAACATCTAACATTCCCCAGAAACTATTTATGCTGCACAGCCCTCTACCCAGCGCGCGAGGCCAACCCATCTCTCCACAGATCCCAATGGTGAACGTCTAGCATATGCTGTATGCGTGGTGCCTCCCCGTACCTCTGGGGAGCCAAGCTAACCGTACCAGTCTGGAAAATCCGTTTTCCTTCGCTCAATCGATGACCCCTCTCTCTCTACCCAATACACCGGACATACCAGTATGGCAAATGTGGCTCGCTTCTCGCCCAGCGGCTATTACATTGCATCAGGCGATTCTTCGGGCGTGGTGCGAGTTTGGGACGCTGTGGGCCCAGAGATGATCACCAAGGGCGAGTTCGGAATTATATCTGGCCCAATAAACGATATTGCTTGGGATGGGGAAAGCAAGCGTTTGATTGCCGTCGGGAATGGCAAAGAGCGGTATGTTTATTCTTCATTCCATTCGACACCGCAGTGTTGATTGTGGTTAGCTTTGGCCATTGCGTCACGTTTGATACGGGAAACTCTGTTGGGGAGATTCTTGGTCATTCCTCTGCAATTAATTCGGTTTCCATCCGACAATCACGTCCCTACCGAGCTGCTACAGCTTCAGACGACCATAATGTTGTCTTCTTTCACGGGGCTCCGTTCAAATATAACAAGACTCTTACTAGCCACCATTCAAATTTCGTCCAGGGCGTGGCCTTCTCCCCAGACGGAGAGCACTTCGTTTCCGTGGGCACGGATCGCAAGATTATTTTGTACGATGGCAAAACTGGGGAGTTCAAGGCCGAAATCGCCTACGGAGATGCTGCCCACCGAGGAGGTATCTACTCGGTCTCTTGGAGCAAGGATTCAAAGAGATTTGTTACCGCTTCAGCAGATCAAACAGTCAAGGTCTGGGACCTGCAGTCCGAGAAGAACTCGCACACATGGAGGTCCGGCCCAGAGGGGACGAGCATTCCCGACCACCAAGTTGGCGTCGTCTGGACACCCAGAGCTGATAACACCATCATCTCGCTATCTTTATCTGGAGACCTCAACTACCTTGACCTGAACTCTGACCGGCCAAAGAGGGTAATCACCGGACATCAGACATCTATCGGTGCAATGACAGTCACCGGAGAGACAAAGACCCTGTTCACCGGGGGCGTGGATGGGAAAATCTGCGGGTGGGATCTGACTAAAGGGATTGCCGAATCATTGGATGGTGCAGGCCACACAAACAGTGTCTGCGGATTTTCTTCGCAAGACGAGAGAAGACTGGCTTCGATCGGACTAGATGACTTTATAAGGCTAATCGATGTTGGGGCCAAAGTGTTCATGTATGCATCTGTGAATCGTAGTCATGGAGAAGTGAACTAATGCGGTAGCAGTGGAACAAATCATCACTGTGACGCGCAGCCTAAAGGCTTCACTTGGCTAACATTGAAGGGGGAGCAATTTCTGGTCACTGCAACAGAAAAGACAATCCTTCTGGGTAAGGTCACCACCAAACTCAAAGTCAATGAGGTGTTGCAACAAAGTTACACCCCCACCCATGTATCCGGTTGTCGAGATAAGGGTGTTTTTGCAGTCAGCGCTACAGACCAGACTATCCACATATATAGCGCTTACGAAGAAGGGCCGGGCGAACAAAGGGTTTGCGAGGAGAAAGTCCTTAAGGACACTCAGGCAGCGCCGACATGTCTTTCCTACTCACCCTCCGGAAGATACCTTGCGGTTGGGTTCTCATCGGGAAAGATCATCCTATACGATGTGGACGAGGACTACGCAGTCAAAACTACCCGTTGGTCATTTCACACGGCTAGGGTGGCGAGTATCATCTGGAATGCGGAGGAAACCCACGTCGTCTCAGGGAGCCTTGACACGAACATCTATATCTACAGCGTTGCCACTCCAGGAAAGAACCAATCAGTCAAGAATGCACATATGGGAGGTGTGACTGCCGTTGATTGGGAGGGGTCCGGTGGAATTGTCTCGACTGGGGCGGATGGAACTATAAAGAGGTGGGAGGTGAAGTTTGAGTAAAAAAAAGGAGTCCCCAGCCGTTCACTAGCAGGCGATATCGAGTTGGATATTTCCGAGCTTCTACTCATACCAATTCCCATAGCTGTTAATCTTAAGCAATTACACGAGTAATGATTCTGAAGCTTTGTTCTTGGATTCGTATTCATCACTTATGTCTTGCTGTGGCGTCGAAACAGGAGGAGCATCGCGACACAGGACAGATCCGCGCCTGTCCGGTTCTCACTAAAAACAAAACAGCACCCCCACGTGCCAGTAGCCCAAAATCTCGGAGGCCAGCTATGATAGCATTAAAAAGTGGAATCTTGAGAGTTCCCCTCCCCTTTTTTTGAGGGGGGGATTAATGGCAGAGTTCAGTAGAACAAGGAAGTAAGTTCTAGAGCGATAGTCAACTATCTAACTGCTCAAAACGTTACTCCAGGGCGCCTACGGTACAAGGCCATACCGTAACCTTGGCACGGTTATCGGTATTGCGGGGTATCCCGCATTCTCAGCAACAGAACCACCCTGTATTATAGTATGGTTTTATGCAGAATTCCGTAGTTAGTAGTTACACGAGTGATAAGCCATGCCTTAAATTACAAGCGAAACAGGGGTTGGCATGTGCGTGAGGCTTAATTTAAGGTGGTTAAACGCACTTTCAACGGCTTCACCTAGCCTAGCAACTCAGCCCCCCATCAAAAAACTGTCAACAACACGACTTCCCCGCGTTGGCTAATTCTAGGTTAAGGGGGGGGTGTAAGGTTACGAAGCTTCGACAACTCAGAATCACAGCTCCACCATCTTCATCATGTCCGACTTTCAAATCGGAGATCATGTGGACGCGAACGGTCAACATGCTATCGTGCGTTTCATCGGCGAAACTTCTTTTGCCCCGGGGGAATGGCTCGGGGTTGAACTGGATGTCCCCCAAGGGAAGAATAACGGAATGGTTCAGGGGCAGAGGTACTTTGAGTGCGAGGATCGGTATGGCATTTTTTTAAGGCCATCCATAGCAAGACTCATGGAGCGGCCGGCGGCCCCTCCTCCCACGAGGAGACCTCCTGTTATTTCGCCTCCTCCGTCGAACACTAGGATTGGGAACAGGCCGTTGAGCTTGAGGGTATAAAATCTTGATGACCAAAGCTCTTAGTGATAGGGGTTGTAGGATTAACTTAATGGCTAGGCTCCGGCGTCACCAACTAAAGGGGCCTCACCAACCAATGCATCTTCATCAGGTTACAATACACCACGAACCAGTACTCCAACCACGAGCCGACCTGGCTCGAATTTACGGGGATCTATCAGCGGGAGACCAGGTTCCATGGGTCCACCTCTAGGTCCTAATAAGCCACCTGCCACTACCAATATGGGAATGCCTCGACGCCGATCTACGGTGAACTCGGCAGCACTGTCCCGGACCGGCTCTAATTCTTCCTCAGCAAGTAATCCCACCTCGAAGCCGCCTCAAGTCAATAGGCTTTCATTAAAACCAGCGACTTTATCGGTACTAGGGGCGGCGGGGAAGAGGGCTGGTGCTGTAAGTATGCCTTCTGAAAGAAGTTCACCGGAGGGGAGCTCTACAGCTGCGGCCGGAGGTGCATTAAGACGGACCAGAAACGATAATGATCCTAGGGTGTCTCCAGGGCCTGGGAGACGAGGTTCGGTTATGGGTAAGCCTGGCGGTGCTCCACCGGCCCGGATTGGTGCAGCGGGACAACCTCTTGGTCCTGCAACCCCTGGTCCCGCCGCTGCAGCTAATGCGTCATTGTCAAGGGAGCTTGAAGACTTGAAAAGCACTATTAAGGTGATGGAAAAGAAGAGGGTGGATGATAGGGATAAGCTTAGGTTACTTGAAAGAGTGCAGGCTGAAAGAGATAAATTCGAAACTATCATCCAGAAGCTGCAAGGTCCGATACGAATTCCCTTATGACACTGCTTGCGATTTGAGGGAAACTGTACACGCTGACAATGGCCACAATAGCGAAATATCAGCCTCAACAGGCGGAACTCACCGAGCTGCGAAAGCAACTTAAGGAGATCCGGGGAACCATTGAAGAGATGGAAAATACCAAACAAGACAATGAATTAATGGTGGAGATGGCAACTCTGGACAGAGAAATGGCAGAGGAGCAAACCGAGGCTTTGAGGGCAGAGTTGGAGGCTGTCAGGGGGAAAGCGGAGGAGCTAGAGATGGAGGTTGAGATTCTCCGCGAGGAGAATGCTGAGCTCAGTGGGGAGATGACGCAAGAGGAAAAGACTAGTGCCGGCTGGCTGCAGATGGAGAAGCAGAACGAACGTTTAAGGGAAGCATTGCTGAGGCTTAGGGAGATTACTTCGCAGACAGAGACGGAGTTGAAGGATACTATCAAATCTCTAGAGGAGGATAATACTGAGCTCACTGTCTACAAGGAGAACTTTGAGACTACCAAAGAGAAATTAAATGCCTCGGAGGCTGCGGTTGAAGACCTTAGGCAGCAGTTGGAAATGGCCGAGAGCGCAGAACAGATGCTGGAGGATCTCACTGAAAGGAATCTCGCGATGAGTGAGCAGGTCGAGGAACTCAAAGCTACCGTTGAGGACTTGGAAAGTCTGAAAGAAATTAGTGATGAATTGGAGATTAACCATGTCGAAACCGAAAAACAGATGCAAGAGGAGCTCGACTACAAAGATCTTATTATTACTGAGCAGATCCGGAGAATTGGACAGTTGGATTCGAGTAACGAAGAAGCCGAATATACTATCACTCGATTCAGGGACTTGGTTACAAACCTGCAAGGGTATACCTTTACGCTCTCTAGTTAGATTGGCGAGGTGCTGATATGGCTGAAAATAGTGATCTCGAGGATATGAGAGCTTCACAGCAAATCACTGAGACCGAGGCCGAAGAACTGACGCAACGGTCACGGTCCATGATGGAAATTAACATGAAGCTCCAGATCACTGCTGCCAAGGCTCAAAATAAGACTATCGATTTGGAGTTGAGACGCTTGGAGGCTGATCAAGCGATAGAGCAACTCTCTATCGTGCAGGTAATCGTCTTGGGTGTCGAATTATTGGGAGATTTACTAATGGTGTTAGATGTTCCTTCCCGAAGCCTTCCATTCAGAGCGTGACTCCATCCTGGCTTTGCTCCGGTTCAAGCGTGTTTCTTTTAAGGCTCAGCTATTGCAGAACTTTGTTAAAGAGCGTCTTACCTCTCAACTTGGACAAGCATCTTATAACCGGGAAGATACCACGATGGCGGCTTGTGATATGTGTGACAAACTGACATGGGTATCAGCTATGTGCGATCGGTTCATCAACTGCATCAGCGGATGCAGTGTCGCACAGTTTGCTAGGTTCCAAGGTGCATTGTATGAGCTTGACCCTGTTGAGAGAGCACTTAACGGATGGATCGAGGGGCTTAGAAAAGATGATCTTAAGGAGAAGCAATGCGTTTCTGAGCTTCAACGGTATGTTTCACCATATGTCGGGTTTCCCGAGCCAACGCTAACATGATGGCGAAGAACCATGGCTTTGATGTCCCATTTGGGCGAGATTCATCTCCAGAATGACCTTGAAGGCTTTGCGAGTGATATCCACATGCGCGTCACTTTGATGCAGAGCTACATGGAAAGCTCAGCGACTGCTCTTTCCCACATTAGAACAATCGTCCAGGACAAACTACCGGGTACCCCGGAAGAGGACGAAGAAATCGCATCTAGCTTTTCCAAGCGATCTGATGCGGTGATTTCCCACTCTCGTAGTGCGAAAGTTGTTGTTGGAAAGATCCTTCGATCTCTTAATGACTTCCAGCAAAGGTCGTTATCTTTGACACAGGATAAGCTCGCGCAGTTCGAGGCCTGTGAAGAGGCAACCAAGAAGCTCGCCGATTACGCTCGTGAGCTTGGTGATGATGTTTACACATTGCTATACTCTGGCAATACCTCTGGTGCCCCAACTTGGGTGGGCCTTCAGAGCGCTCTCCTCAAGACTACGGAAAAGGTCCTGAGGGTCGCTGAAAGCGATATCTTTGGCGCTTTCGGGAAGGAGCTGAGAACTCTGACGAACATGCTGGTGGAGCTTGGGAGCACTGCTGCGGATATTGATATGACTGCAGAGTGTGGGTTTTCCCATTCTTCACATCCACTTGAACCATTGCTGACTGGCTGGACCTTCAACAGTTGAAAAGCCGCCCACCCCATGGGTGGTAAGGGCACGGGAGCTCAAGACGACAAAGGTGGTATCAATTGACACAGAAGAAGAGATTAGACGTTTGAAGGACGACATCCTTGAACGTGCGACACAAATAAAACTTCGTGTACGTGCAATGGGCTCACCTTTCCTCACTGTTGCAACACTAACACATTTCTAGGACAAAACTCTCGAAGAATCCGCCGTCAAAATCGAACTCCTGGAATCCCGTATGCGTAACGTGACCAAGCAAAGCGAACGCATAGAGGAACTCGAGAAGCAAGTCTCTGCCAGCACCGTTCGCGAAGCCACCTTCTCGGAAACTGTCGATAGTCTAAACGAAGAAGTGGTGACACTGGAGGCTGAAATCGCCAAGTGGGAGAAGGCTGCCAATGAAAAACACGCAGTCGGCGAGATTGACAAGATTGGTGCCGAGCGCGCCGTTGCGACTGCGAAGGAAGTGGACTCGCTGAAGAAGGAGATTGTAGCATTGACTGGAGCTGTAGCTTTCTTCCGGGAGGAAAACACTAGGATTAAGAACGCGGACTTACTCGCCGCCGATTCGTGGCTTCTCGAACCACTGCTCCCCCGACCAGAAGTGAAGGAGGTGGGAGAGTACGAAACAGACCTAGCAGCTGAAGGCCAGGACGTGTTCGCTGAATTAATGCTCCTGACGACTGAAAGCAAAGTGGTGGACCTCACGCAAACACCCGAGAACAGGAAGGCGTGGAGACCGGTGAGGAGTACGCCCAAATACCACTTCCTGGAGCAGCGAGAGCATTACGAATCTCTGGTGTCATGGCGCGACGACGTGATCTCTCGAGCGCTGTACCATGATGCGGCGAAGGCGAGCATTCGTCTTCGAAAGCCGAAGGGCACCAAGGGTGTGTTCGGCGCCCGGGTCAACGTGCTCGTTGACCAGGGGCTCGTTGGCAAGGGGGGAGGGGTGGCGGAAGTGGTGATTCGCGAGCCGGAGGGGTGGGAGGAGTTTGGAGAAGCGATGGGGTTTTCTTGAGAGGGTAATGGCCGGGGGGGACTGTATATAATCTGTGATGGTAGATGAATGGGAGGTGGTTGGTGGTGGGGGGTACCCTACGTTCGCTTTTCTTTTCTGATCATGGTTACCGGTAGATTAACGCTTAGTACTTGGGATAATATTTGGTGTTTGGGTGGATTGCAATTTTCTCCTTTGCACCTCTTTCTGTTTCTTTTTTTCCCACATGACATCTCTAGTTTAACTGTTTAACTCAAGTTGGTGGAAGGGCTGGTTGCGCGTGGGGGGTGATGGCCTGGTTGATGGGTGACAGACTTATTTCTTCATTTGGGAAGCGCAATTTATTATAGTGTTAGTCGGGTTGCCGGGTATGCTGTAGCGGTATGATAGTATAATACGTATCATATCATACTTGGATATTTTGTGAGTGGGGTTTACATGTACAGTACCGGTACCGGTACCCCCGGGATCATTTCGCGCATTTCATGATAATCACCACAATATCATCATCATACAATCCACGATACACTCACTACACCTCGAAGCCATGTTGTTTTCTCTCTTTTTTTTTTCCTTCTTCTCGCACAGCACAGGCGTGCATGGTAGCACTTGGAGGAACCGATTGGTCAGAGGGCGGTGTTGTGTCATGGGCCATCACTCGATGTTACTCTACTCGAGTAAAGTATGGTATGATACCGTATCGTACCCTCCATTGGTTATGGGGCGGAAACCGAATAGGAGCGAAATAGGACCCCGTTGTTTCACGGATTCTCTTGTAATTCTTTGGGGTAAGTTGGAGAAGTAGGGCGGGTGTCTGGAATACCGGTATATGATACGATTATTGCTCTATTATCTGTGAGGTGGTCGGCATTTGAGGTTGTTAAGGTCGGTTGTGGTGTATCGTATCCCTTGTATCGGTGGGTGCCGTGTGCCGGGGCCTCGGGGAGGGCACGGCACCAATCTGCCCTGGGTGAACGGAACGATCTGGAAAGTTGGTGTTTCTTGGTGCGGTTTGCAGTAATATTGTTATCGTTATCATAATATTGTTTTCATTTTTCATTAACGCCCGTCGAGTTCTGTCTACCTAAAAACTGCAACTTTTTGTGTGATTCGGGCTGTTCCATGGCCCGACAGAGCGCGCCGCACGCATGCGGAAGGCCAAGCAATAAACGGACTAGTGACGACTCCTCGCTGGTTCCGTCTCAGAAGCAAGATAGCACTAACGCCGGGACCATAGCTCAACGGCATACCGGTAATATCATGGCCCCCACAAGCTTGGGTTTCGCGGGTTCCCAAGTTCAGCTCTCCTCCCAGACAGAAATTATCCCCCGAGAGAGAATGAACGGATCGTATGCCCTCAGATGGGATGGGGATGGAGGTGTGATGGTGGAGGAGGAGGGGTCAAGGTCTAGTGCATAAGGTCTGGTGTTGGGTTCTTGTCCGCTCCCACCCTCTCCGCACACATGTGGTATGATAGCCGAAGTTTCCTTATCCCCGGTGGCATATTGGTCCCCGAAAGCAGCTCGCCCGCTCTGGCATCAAAGGCACTGGTAGCATCGAATCCGTTGGGCTTAGCTCAACTGCCATCCCGAAACTTGATTTACCCCTATTCTGTGACTCTATCCGTCCTACCGTTGTGCCGTATGCATCTTCCGAACCCGGCCCGTCTGCTTTAATATATCAATTCGTACCAACAGCGATGGATTGTTGGTTCCTAGAAGGTTGTTTCGGTGTTTTAAGAAACTACTAGAAACCTGAACATATATCTGTCAACGGATACCCTGCGGTGGGGTCCCGGGCATAGTTCCGCCTGCGTACGTTCCGAAATACTTTAGCGCTTTCCCCGGAATCCATGCCCCCAGATTATGGTCCGTCGTGATCTGTGTCCTCGTCCAGCCTAACGCAGCGATATCTGATGACATCAAATTTTCTAAGGCCTACAGACACACATATGATATCACTCGCCCGGTGGAGCACTCTTCTGCCTCAGCCCTAATATGGGGTTCCCCAGTCACAAATATTCGAATGCCTAGGGATCTCTCAGGGGTGGTTTTTCGATAACCTGGGATCTTGACGGCCCATAGCACAACCCCCCCGCTTCTATTGGCGGCACTACGGTCGAGACTGCCTTCTACTTAAAGGGGCAATAACGCCGCTTATTCAAGCAAAGTCTCCACAGATCCGAGAGGCCATAAGCGTTTATTGGCTGGGTCGCTATCGAAAGACCTCAGCCATACCCCTTCAAGCGAAGTATTGCGGTAGCTCCTGAGCTAAAGGTTCTGTAGGATCCGGAATACTAACGAAGGGGTACTCGTAGTCTTGCAACATCTAGACTATTCCTTCGGGATATCTCCTAGTCTGCCAATAACCTTTTCCAAAGGGGAAGCTAGAATACTCGTCAAAGACTGCTCCTTTCGGGCCGCGAAGCCAACTTGAAAACACGCAGCGATGGTATCGTATCTCGCCCCCCACCCATCAGTGGATTGACACCGCGACCTGTCAGTATTAGCCCCCCGCTCGAGCAAGGGCCGCGCTTGTTACCCGATAATGGCCTCGCCGGCCCCCTAGGCTCAGTAGCAAAACGATACTGGGCTATATGATACATCTTCCCCTCACCCATCATTTCTGGAGCTATCCCCTTACGTCATCGACCCGCAGCCACAAACATCCTAGTGCCTACCCCTACAGTAATCGTACTCGAGCACCGGTAAATTAGCGGATAGCCAGGCCAGGGATTCAGACCGACCGCAGGTATTAATAATGAAGTGATTAATACTTGGGCCACAAGGGTCGATATTAAAGATGAAAGATGGAGACATCCCCCGACCTTGCTAGTCGGGGGCTCGTAGGGGACAGATTGTTGAGTAGGTAGGTTGAGGGAATTCCCGGAAGCTGAAGAGAAAGCGAGGTCCCTGGGTCTGAAACAGGCGGTCCAACCGAGCCACCAAGGTTTGTGAAACCAATGTCATGTTGTAGCTGGGTGCTCGCAGCGTCAGGTGTCGAGGAGCTTTCGAAAGGGATCGCTATCGCATACTCACCCAGATCCAAGCAAAAGGAAAGGCCAAACATCGGTCTGATATTATGATATGCAATAATATGCAATAGCGGTGCATTTTAAAAACGCCCCCACCCCACGAGTAGAGTACTCGAATATAGCGCCGTACTATACCGGTATCACGCTCGACCGGGTCAGGCAAGTATCAGTATCACAGATTTACACAAGCAACAAACGCCCACCACCCAACTTGAACACACAACTTGCTCTCCCAACATAGTGCGAGTAACTTATCCATACCGGCAAGGTGCACTCTACCATCTACACATTTACAATACGCAATACCTCAACGAAAACAGTCCACCACCACCCCCAAGGCCAGGCCAGGAAAGAGGGCAGCAAACAAACAAACAAATAATCACGGATATCATAGAGTGTCAGCATGCTCCCGCATCACCAATGCGCAATACGGTACTCGTATCCGGCGTGGGATATCCGGGGATGAGGCATCATTGTTTTTTGCTGGTGGAGTGATTATGTAACACAAGCCATATTTTCAGATACGGTACGGCACTCTATTGCCGGACACAAGCACGAGTCCAGTATTATGATACAGTAATTTACAGCACAGTAAGTACAGTACGCATGCACATGCACCAGCGTGGCACTCGTAACAACTATCCCGCCCAAATCCCCAACCAATGATTTACCAAAGGTACCGCACGATGTCCATCTCACTCGGATATCATATCGTACCAGGGTTAAACATCTATACCGGTACTGTGCTGTACTGTGCTGTACTGTACAGTACCGTGCTCGAACGTGAACACCCCCAGTAAACGAAGTGACTGGGGCGTGGGGTCATTCGGTCAACCTTCCCTTCACCATAACTTATTCATTCATTGCAGGCGGGGGGGGGAGGCAAATCCCGTGAAGGCTTTGGGACTTTTTATTTGCTGGATGGGGTTATGATATGATACTCGGATATGATGACTTGAACTCGACCGAGTACGGCAACTCGAGTAGTCTAGGTATGATGCCCGCCAATCGGATTCGCTTACCGTGGGGGCTTCGGAAAAATTCCTAGCTCCCTCCCGCCCTGTTTTCCGCCCGCACGCTAAATATGAATTTCCCGCTGGCCGGGGTGGGACTGTAAGTTTGCGGCGCTTATCACACCTCCAAAAGCCGGGAGATTAATTGCCGTAGTCGGTTTGGATGCGACGCGGCGCAAAAGGATGCGGTGCGGTAGCGCCGTATGGTACTATACCGTATGATGGGAAGGCATAAAGTATCGTGTGTGCAGGGGGGTTCAAGGCTATCATACCGGGACTGTAGAGCACCGGTACTAAGTACTAGTACAGAAGCCTTCGAGCGGCTGCTCCCGGTATCAACGCGGTGGAAGGAGGTTCGGCAGAAGATAACTCCCCCCTGGGCCTTAATAAACCCGCAGAGCCAGGGACAGGGGTCACTGCTATTGCGCTAGTATGATACCTCGTCCAATGATTTAGCCCCGTTCAGCGAAAGTCTCCATCGCGGGGAGCTTAAAACAACCCCGTCAGAGCACCTCCTCCCCCTCCTCTGTTTTATCTTACCGTGCGGTGCTGGTATGATATCATACAAAATATTGATATTCTCTTCCTTCCACCCTGTCACAGGGCCGCGACACGATTGGTAATCGGTTCGATCCGAACCTCCAAGGCAGAGGGAAACAAGCTATCATGTAATGCTAGGAAATAGGCCAACTAGGGCTCTCGCGGCATGACAAGTATTCCGCTACAAAAGCGAATGGATGTTAGGAAATGATACAAGGAGTGATGGCGATAACAGGGAAAGGAGAGGAAACAGGGTGCGGTGATCATTGGTCACCTGTATGCGCTCGTTCCACTCGGCGCAAACACTTGACAATAACAAGGGAATTACAAAAGGTTGTATAGTACTTACATTAACGGAGAGGGAAGAATGGAAAGCAAAAGCAGAGGCAAAAAGTAGGATAAGTGAGACTATCAAATATACCAACTTAGGCCAAACAAAAACAAACCCAAACCCAAACTCCCAGCATCTCAGTGGGCAAAAAAAAAAAAGACAGCGAGAAGAAATGTTGTTTTTTTTAGAAAAGGCTGCACATCTTTGTTCTTCCCCTCTCCTCTCCCTCGCTTCTCAATAGCACCGCTAAAACTCTCCGATAAACCCCGGCCTAACTTCCGTCTCCTTCAGCGTCAAAAACCTCTCCCCTTCCCTCCACCCCCCAGTAACCTTCCCACCACTCCCGCTCCCGCTCCCGCTAGCAACACCATACCCACTCACCGAACCCACACTCCCCTTCCTACTACTGCTCCTGCTGCTGCTCGAGCCTCCAGCGCCATACCTCCGCTCCTCGAGTACGCTCATTCTAAAATCGGGAACTTTCCTACGGAGCGCTGCGTGGGGGTTGATATTCCCGAGAACAATCGGTATTGAGATTTCTAGGTCTTTAGAGGTGGACGTCGGTTTTTTCAGCCAGGAAGTGGAGGTTGGAACCGTGACTTGGAGGACGTGGGCTACTATGAAGCTCAAGCCGAGATTCGGTGGGAGCAAGGGGAGGTTTTGGTTTATGGAGGGGGCGGTGGTGGTGGCGGGACTGGAGGTGTTGGAGACCATTGGAGACTTTCCCTTATTGTTGCGATGGGTGGAGGACGGAGGCGAGGGCGAGGGGATACCAGCTATCGGGCCGATCCTTGGCGGCGGATCGTATGCTAACAAACTACCCAGTGGGAGCGCCACAGTGGGCAGGAGTATGTCGCTAATAAAGGTTTTGAAGCTTGGTAGGCGAATGCGGATCGGCATTTCGACCTTTTTTCCGCCGAGAAGGTCTCGGTGGACCGCGGGCTCATCTTCTCCTTCTCCCTCGGGAGCGTCTGCGGATTCGGTGCGGTTTGGAATGTTGATGTCCGCCGGTTTCACGTTGCGGATGCTGTCTGGATGTATGGTGAACTTTCCTCCTGTAAGAACTTTTGTACGCTCTTTTCCGATGACGTTAAGTTTTGGTAGGCTGTCTTCATCGTCATCGCTGGTGGCCTCGTCCGGTGTGATGTCGGGATCCACTCTTGCTAAGCAGCGTTTCTCGACCACCCTGATGCTGAAGCCTTTGGGCATTGTATCACCCTCTTTGATAGCAAATTGCATGAGTATGGATATTTCATCGTCTGGCAGGAATCTGGTCTTTTGGAGCTCGATGGTTAGTCTAGCGACAACTTTCCCATCATCTCTCACACAAACCGTCCTGAGGATAGAAGTATCGATAGGACGAGGCCTGTCAATGATAGGCGTGCTATTGCTCGACGCGGTCAACGGGAGATCTGCCGTTGTCAGGGTTAATTTTGGCTTAGGAACCTTCAAGGGCCCGATGTTGCTGTTATTGGTTGCAGGCTCGGCACCACCAACCGATTTTAACGAGGAAGCCGTATCCGCACCCTTCCCTTTCGAAATCTTATCCTTGGCGGGGAATACCTGGGGTAGAAGTCGGGGGAGGGGTGGGAATTCGAGAGCAGGGTCAATGTAGGGGATGAAGACGATTTCCAGAGGTTTGCTCTTGAGCTCTGCCATCCGTGATCCGATTGAAGTACTGTCATCCTCGACAGTGCCCATCTTCGTAAGCTTTGCGGCGAAGGAGTAGTGAACCAGAGGGCTCGCAGATGTAGGCGGGAGGTTGAGATGAGGAAAGTTGAAGCCGAAGAGGAATGTGCGAAATCCTTCATGGAAGTCTACGAACACCATCAATCAAATCAATCAACTTATGCTGGTACGATGAGCAGGATAAAGTGCATTTGGCATACCTCCAGAATACAGCTCGTGGGAGATGCTGAGAAAAGTTGCCAAGTTCTTGTCCACCTCAGCAACCCCTGTGAATGTGATTGTGAGGGTCATGCCAGTAATTGGTTTCTTTATACCAAGAGAAACGTTTCCTGAAAACGCGATATCTAGTTAGATGGGTTCCCTAGCAAACAAAGCAATTGCTTCGCAGAATCGCAAAATCACAATAACCCCCACCATTGAAAACAGCAACCGGACCAAACACAAGATGCCCACCCTTCCCACCAAGCTCCTCAATCCTAAAGTCTCCCACATGCGAAGATAGCCCAGCTCCTCTAAAGCGGTTCGCGGCAACTACCTTTGCAGCCACAGCATGCCAAGCCCCCAAGGGTGTCCTACCACTGGAAACCATACCGCTGTTTGTTGCGGAACCATAAACACGAGCCGGACCGTTGGCTTCTTTACTCTTCGGTTCAGGTGTGGCGCTGGACTCCGAATCGACAGGTGGGAGAGTTTTTTCGGGGACGGTATTTTCCTTTGATTTTTTCGGAACCGTACCTGTTTCAATCGCGCCTGATACGTCGGGCACAATAGGGTCAAGTAGTATGGGCAAGTCTGGGGTTTGTCCTAGCGGAGGCTGCACCGGCGGAGAGGGGGGCGAAGACCAAGGGTTTGTGCCACAGCAGCAAAGCTTAAAACACATGGCCAAGGCAGTGATGTCAGTACAGTGCAGCACAGCGCAGTGCAGCAAGCGGACGAAAGAACAACGGCCCGAATAAGAAGCAGAATGAGAAGGACAAAAAAAAATTTAAAAAAATTAAAAATAGTATTAATAAACCGACTATCCCAAGCAAGGAGAAATTTCTTGTCGAGTTGGGCAGCAGATAAATGGAAGACAAGGGACGATTCAAATAAGAGACGGCATCCGAAGATGTTAATGCTTCCGAAGAGGGGGATGAGGGATGAGGATGGAGTGCGCGATGTGATCAGAAGAAACTATACGCCCTCGCTAATACACGTAGACGATGGGAATTGCGATGCAAGCCTCATGGGCAAACGATGAATGAGCCATGCCAGAACGTTATGCGGCAGGCAAGATCTCCATTGTGTTAAGATCTGCAGGGACAACGCGCAACGGACAGCAATATGATGGTATCACACCGTAGAACCCCGTCCAAAGGTCAGGAGAGAAGGGAAGGGAAAGGGCGAGCAGGTAAAAAATGATAACAGGGTAGGGCACAGTAAGATGGGCCAATTCAAAGATTGGAAAGAAGGAAAAAGAAAACAAGAAAGAAGCCTTCCCAAAAACATACCAAGCACAAAGGCCTCCAGACCTCGGTGATGATGCCCTGTTTCTCAATGACGATCGTTCCCTCTCAAGCCTGCCCTGCCGGTCAAAGACGACACAATATCGCGAGCAAAAGACTACGTGGTGGTAGAAGTGAGCCTTTTCTGTGGAAGAGGGAAAGGGCTTCGTCGTCCGTAGAAAGATATTTGTCTTGACCGCACAACATTTAACCACAGCATCTACCGTACCCTACAGTACAGTATGTAGTTGTTGAGGCGCAGCGACGACGGTGAGGTGGCAGTGGCAGCAGTCGAGGAGAAGGGAGCTGTCGGCTCTCGAAATAGGAAGTCAGTTTACGGTCGCCCACCCAAGCCAAGCGCCAATCAAACATATCCATCGTCTATAAAGTGTTGAGGTCCCATGGTTTCCCCGTGGACAAAAGTTGGCCGACATGGTACGAGAGCGCGGTGGGCCGGGCTTGGTCGAATCTCCCGTTCAGCGCTTTTCCCGCCAAGAGGGCTGGCATAGCCTCTCTCCTCGTGCTCATGTTCTTGGCGAATGCCGGGTAACTGGCTCTGCTTTGTCCACGCTGAACTCAGGTATCATATCATGGATGCAGGCAGAGTCTCGGGGATTGGTCTATCCCCCGACACCCGCTGAAATGGCAATCAGATGCCTTGTAGATTGATGAAAAGCCCCTGGAGCCGGATTTCGCGGAATACCGGTATGCAGGTCGAGTGGGCTTGTGATTTGTACTCGTAGATGCTCGAGGGACCTCTCCCCACGAAGATTTTCATGGAGGGGAGCGAAGTGACCAGAGAAAATTCTGCAAGGGTGGTCGCACACAGGACGTCCCGTGGTAAGCCTTGTGGGTCTACTTTTCTGACAGCACGCTTCTTGAACGTTAACTTGCATCGGTCTCGTTGTCAGCATCCTGTACCGTATGAACTTGAATAAGAGCAACACCGCTCGGGACGTCTAGGTTTCCCCTCTTGGTAACGCGTGGTTTTATTTTGCTGGTATTTTCTCCCGTCCCTACCAAAATAGGCAAGTCAGACGTCCCGAGATGTGTTGCTCTTATTCAAGTTAATACGGTACAAGTACTCGTACTTACTTGTAGCGGCGTGTTGTCAACGGGGGTTAATAACTTGCTGCGCTATCTGGGAGTTGCAATCTGCCGACTGAACACTTACCGGTACCACCGGTACTTGTACCGTGCCGGCATTGGTTGGGAACACCACGGCGCAGCCCCCATTGGTTACCATGGGTGGAGATGAAGGTTTTTGTGTGTTGCACAAACAAGTGTGCGGGGTTTGAGATCTCTGCCACCTTTGTTCCGGGCTCGAGAATGATGGATGCCGCTGCCATACAGTACCGGTTCTGGTGCCGTATGGGATTGCATCAGTGACACCCTTGCACCTCTAGTGCTGAAGCCCGAGAACTTGCTGCAGTCAAGCTCTTGGGCCAGAGGAGGTCGGAATGGGTACCGTATACCCGAAGAACCGAATCGAGTGCTACCGGTATGATACTTGTACGTCGTTGGAGCTGTCTCCTCCTTACCGCATGGTGTTTCTGTTCTTTGTTTTTTTTTTATATATCTCACAGAGCTCTTTTTTTTTCCCGGTGTTAGTCGTCCTTTTTCCAAAGTAAGGAATTTTCGACTTTCGACGGCAGCCACGCCCCGCTATCCCGGATCTCGATAATCCAGATGCCTCGCTGTCCCATCTTAACTCCCAAGGGCTCATCGGCGGTGTCTCTTAGTCATCGTGACCAGGGGTACGGGTATCCCACCACTGGTACCGGTACTCGAGCACAAGGGTCAGGCATTTACGGTACGGTACGCCGGGTACGGTACCGCTGGTCATATAACTTTGTGACTCGTGGAGTGGCAGGAATAGTTAGCGTTTTTTGGACAAAATATTGGCGCACCAGCACAAGCCGAGGCAAGCAGAATTGGTGCCTTGGGGAGGAAAATTTTTACTGGTGACGGTCGTGCTTGACACTCATGCTACTTTACCATGACTAAATGCCTGACCCTTGTGCCAATTGAATGGGTGCCCCAAGCTCTTCTAGCTTTTTTTTTTTTGCACAAGAACCCGACCCGTTTGTCCTGGAACGCTAGCTGTGCCAGACAGGCTCCCTGGACTCCAGACCGTACCGGCACCGCACACCCTGGGCCTGTTTCAGCTTGGGTATTGAGGGGATTTGAGATCCGATTTTCTTGCGAGTCTCGGCCGACCGCTACCAAATCTGGTCCTAGCGCACCAGCCAGGCTACGGATTTGACAACCCCGGACCGACCGCGGGATAAGAGTGGGGTTGGAACGGTACGGTACTTGAGTTAAGGTTCGATTATAACAGACTACCACTCGAGCACTTGGTGGAGTATTGAATACCGGTACGGTATCATATCATACCGTGATTAAAACGTACTCGAATACTATCGTTTGGTTCTCACCCCTAAAACCCCCACACCCTCCTGCGGGCCCAACCCATTCAGGGACCCATTTCGGGTTGCTGTTTGCAGACAGACCGGCAAAACACCCTCACAAGGTATCACTCGCTATTTTTAAAGTACTTTATGCTGTGCGAGGCTTAGCTCCCTGTACAGAACGGTGGTAGTTGCGCCTACGGAGCAGAAAATTCACCCCAGCGTGTGCCATGGCCTGGCCGCGGGGGTCCCATATGGTATGCAAGGTCGTATTTGCAATGCCACTGGTCACACCCATAAATGGGCCTTGGGTTGCCCCGGAAGATCGATGAAAGGCTTGGATCAGAGATTCTGAAGCGCAGCCGTGGCCATAGCTCTCGCCGCAAAAAAAGGAAGAAAATGTCTTTGAAAATCACTCAAGGCCTGTCTCTCCCCACGTTGTCAGGGTTCTACGCCAGATCCTTACCACATCGTCTCTTGAACCACCAATCCTTGTCATGAATAGCGTAACCAAGAAGTGAGCGACGCTTCGTGACGCCCGCTACTGGCATCCGATTCTAGGGCCCGAATTTCAAGATAGCGGTAGATCGTGGTGCCCCGCTATGCGCATGATGGATTTCTGGGTTATCCCCTGGAGCTGCACCATTTATTTCGGGCGCAACGGACATGGGGGTGGGCTGGATCGCGGAGATGGGTGGTGCAGCACTCGAGTGCACCTTGGGTGGACTTGGGGGCTGCATTCCAAAACAAGAAGTCTGCCCCCCCCACGGTTACCAACTTACAGTCAACTGCTACACCGCACCTTGTCCAAAAGGTCTAGGCTCACTTTTCATTCCCTCCCAGCACTTCCCCAGACACTGATCTGAGGAGAGGGACTTTTAGTCTTCCCGAGTAAACACTGTGGGACATAACTCGGCTAAGAGAGACGAATGTACCCATATCTGACAGAAATATCAGTAGACGAATGCCACAAATTCAGAGACAGTGCCGACCATGTTTGCTTCATTGCTCTGGTTATAAGGTCTAGGGTGCAGGATGCTTTGTGTAGCTATCGATGATCCGTGAAGCCCGGCTAACTCGACTACAGATGGGCCATGGCTGATGATACGGCCTATGTGTTGAAGCTGCGGGGGGCATCATACTGGTACTCGTAGGTGAGATGGGATAGGAAGACCTGGAGCTTGAGATTGGCCCATTGGCAGCGGGGTATGGAGGTGAGGGGTGGTATGATACTATTATGGTAGATGGATAGGGTAACCGAAGCGATGTTTGTTCAGGGTTTTCGGAGGGCCTCATGTGGATCGGTTTCCATGATTTCTTTACTCGAGCACAATGGCTGAAGGGGGCTAAAGGTATGATATGCATCGCACAACATCATACATAATATGATACGAGTACTAGTACGGGAGGTGGTAGCCCCAGCGCTGGTATCGCTACCGGTGCATGAGGGCCAGAAAGCGGAAAAGATTGTGGTATTCCGGTGCCGGTGTGACATGATAAGCGAACGGGCTCGGCACTCCTCTCGCACGGCATAAGCTCTCGCACGGCATAAGCCGGGTCCGCAAGAGGGCAGACAGGTTGTGTTGGTTTCTCGGTCTTCTCTCGCTGGCTTGCTTGGCTTTGGCTGTGTGTTACTCGTAACAGCGGGTGGGCAAGTGGACTGCATAGGTGATGTATCATGCAGTACAGAGTTCGGAAAATCTCCCAACATTCCGGCAGCCACGAGCAGAAGTCGGAAGCTATCACGAGCTAGTCGCCTGGAGGAGTGGGGGGGCATATGGTATTTCAATAAAGTAGCTCACCAATATCTGATTTTTTCTTTTTCTTTTCTTCCTTCCCTTCTCATCTCATACTCACTTTTGGAAAAAGTGATGTGGTCGCGATCTATTTTCGATGGGTAGTCTATTGTACAAGTACCTCGAAACCTGAGGCAACACAGGGAAAGCCATGACAGCACGAGATAAATGTGGTTCTTCTGTGGTCGTCTGGGGGCAGCTGATGGGTGGCAGACATGAGAGGAAAAGAATCTCCGGATCGGTGGGACGCATATGCGCTGTTTCTGGTATGCATAAGTTAAATGCAGGCCGCCTGTGGACTTTTCCGTCCGAACGGTCGAGAGAGGTCTCGTCCGGAGACCATCTGAAGGGGGGACTCCGGACGATCCCGGACAGAAGAATCCATCCTGAAAAGAATCATTTTGCTCAGTATTCATTCACCGCTGACGCTATTTGACGAAAATCTTTTTCGCTTTTTCGCTTTTTTTTTTTTTTTTTTTT